TGCTTGTTGTGTTTACTGACGAAGTCACTCGTGTGACTTCGTGCTCGGTCGGTGACAGCTGCTCCCCTGCTGCTTCGCGTCTCGTGGGAAGGGCCAAGCAGCAGCATACGTGAGCAAGATGTGCTGCTGCAGTAACGTGCTGCTGACGGCTCCCGTGGAAAGCCGGGGTTAGAAAATAAAAGGTGAAACGCTAGGATTTGAAAAGCCTGACAGATCTACGTCACACTGTGACTTGGACTCACCCGTTTTGACTCAAGACGGGGAAGGCTGTTGGTTTTAGCGTCCAGAATCAACAGGTAACATCGCGGGCTAACAGAAGCTAATCACTAGCATTAGCAATTCACTCATACGGCAGAAGCTCCTCCAGGATTGGAATTGGACATAAAACTTTAATGTCCTCGAGCAATTAGTTAGTACTAAAGTCGCATTGTCTTTATCCAATCTGAGGCAAGATGTCTGAATATCAGGAAATAAGACCAAATACTCCCGTCTGAAGCTCATCTCTGATGTTGCAGACTTGGTCCTGCTGAACCAGGGGTTTGTAGACTCTTTTTGTGCACCGAGTACAGCCTGGAAGGCACTCATTCCTACTAAAGACGACTGCAAATGTACAGATTAAATGAGTAAACCACTCCTTTAACATTATGTGACATGAAGCTTATTATAGCTTCCTTAATCCGCAATACCAGTTGTGTTTGGTCCAGGCGTTCATGAGATCTTTTCCTGCAGAAATGAAAGAAAATTCAAGTAAAGGAACAGACACATTTGCTCACCTTTGACCTGTTCAGCAAGCAATAATTCTATGTTTACTAAAGTTTGCAAAAATCTCTAAATGAGGGAGCATGCGGGTGATTTTTTTAGGCAACACGATAAAGTTGCGTTTTTAATGGGTTTGTAATCCTGAGAAACAGGAAGTTTTGTATTTATTTAAATTCTGTAAAACCTGCTACCCTAAAATCAAAATTTTCACCCCTTTCTACAAACGTAGCTCTCTTTCTCGCTGCTACACGCCACACCCGGCAAATTAAAGCAACGTGTGTTTTCAAACATTTTAAGTATTCTTTTGAAACTTGACTCCCAAGTATTACGTCCATGTCACATATGCATGTCATTTCATCAAAGTCCTGATTTAGTGTGGTAGGACAGTGAAATACGCTGAGCGACACACACACACACACACTCACACACACACACACACACACACACACACACACACACACACACACACACACACACACACACACACACACACACACACACACACACACACACACACACACAATCCCTGCAGGCTATTCAGCTGCCGTCCCTGCACCATGATTAATGTCAGTGGCAAAAGTGAAACCCACCACTCCCTAAAGGCTGCTTCGGTTTCTCCTTTCTGGGGCTGTTTTATCTTTCTAATGTGGTTGGAATACAGATGGCATGAACTTAAAAGGGGAAACCCATTTGTAGGAACCTTTTAATGAATTAGACTAAACTGGAATCCCCTCCTACTGAGATTCCTCTAAAATGAAAGGGGCGTGCAAATTAAATCAACAACATTGGTTGTGCAACAGAGCATTTAGTAAACAACTATAATAATAATAATAATAATAATGCATTGAACTTATATAGCGCTTTTCAAGACCCCCAAAGACGCTTTCACACACTCACATTCACACAATGCTAGTGATGGTAAGCTACTTGTAGCCACAGCCGCCCTGGGGAGGTTTGACAGAGGCGAGGCTGCCATTTGGCGCCGTCGGCCCCTCTGACCACCACTAACACAGGCAAGTTGGGTGAAGTGTCTTGCCCAAGGACACAACAGCAGGATACCCCTGGCGGGAGCTGGAATCAAACCCATGACCCTCCAATCATGAGGCAACCCGCTCTACCACCTGAGCTACTGCTGCCCCAAACTATCACTGATTGTAATTTGAGGTAAACTGCTTAAGTGTTAGATGTAGCAACAGTATTAACCAGGAGAACGTTCAAAGCTCTAAATGTGGACTTTTCAAGTAAAAAGCTCAGGAAACTGCTTCTGAATGTAATGTCACTCTAGTGCCACGTCTCTTCCTCTCTCACTCACAGCCTCTTAGCTCATGTGATCCCCACAAAAAGCTTTTCATCAAGCTCTGGATCCCATCCCAGCCTTCCAAACAGGGAAGAGCTGATGTGTGTTTGATCTGATGGATAGTCGAAGGTCAAAACGAACCACAGGAATTGATCTCTTTAGGTTGCAAGTGTAAACAGTTCTAGCTGAAAGGAATTTACTTAATGAATTCTTTAATTTGGCATAAAACTCGAGTGCTTTAACTCCCTGATCTTCATCGTGTCCTCGAACATCCCCGAGGTGACCTTGTGCCAGATTTGGTTCTTCCAAGTTATCCAGGCTTACAGGCTGTTTTCTCCCTGATTAGATAAGAGCTACAACTCAGGGACTTCACTCACCAGGTGGTGGTGCGGAAGGTGTCACCGATCAGCCAGGTCTTCAAGCTAGACTCTCTAATTTCAGACACCAGCCTCGCGGGCGGTAATTGAGAGAATAATCCTCTTTGCTGTCTGTTCACCTGCCTTGTGCTGCTTTATCTGGGAGCGACACATGATGAGAAAACAAACGTGTGTTTTGTACTTTGCAGGCCTGTTTCATATTCTCAGAGAAGCAAAGAGTTTTTTCTCAGAGTGATCATATTTTAGCATTTGCCAGGATCAGATGTGTGTCCACGTTAAAGTTTTACTAATGGAAAAGGTTCATGTTTCAGGAAAGATTTAGTGTTGTAAAACGTTTGCACACAACTCCACCATTCAAGTAGCCTGGCCGCACGGTCCTATGTGTGAACATACAGCCTGGCCACGGTCCATTGACGGCTCTCAGTCGTGGGGCTGGATCTACAGCCGAAGTTCAAAACTGTCTCCACATGCTATTGGATAACAAGCAAAGTGACGTACTCACCGCTACGGATGTCAGTCGGTGAGGCAGTCCGCCATGCTCCGTCGTAGAAGATGCAAATACATCCTTTTTATAAATGAACCAAAGTACCTGTGCTCTTGACTCAAAGATAAGCCCAAGTCTAAATAGCCTAAAGGTAATGCCAAAATCATTCCAAACGAGCCATCACCATCTTTGTTTTTTCAGTAGCATCCCACCCACCAACAGAGCGCTGTGATTGGATCGCTACGGAGCTGTCGCCATCTCCGTTTTGCACAACATCCCGCCCACCGGGAGTGCCGGTATTGGTCCACCAAATCAATAGAGCACTGTGATTGGACTGCTACAGATGTCCGCCATATTGTGGAAGAACTGCATAACCCCCCCCCAAAAAAACCAAACATGATGTCATTTTTCTAAATAAACACGCTGTGATTGGCCAGCCACATTATCAGCCAGACCTGCCAGCTTCCAATGGAGCATTGCCAGATCATCAATTTTGCTTTGGCAAATGACGATAGATTCTGGGCCACCATTCCAAAAGGGGGTTAGAAAGGGTGATTCTTAAGGTTGGTTTATGCTTGACGCGTCCGCGAGGTCCGCACGGCTCAGCGTGGAAAAGTTGCGTCATTTTGCATCATTTTAACAACCACGCCCCTCCACCGCGTCTCCGCACGGCCCAAGATTTCCGCAACGCGCACCTCGGAAAATTTCTAACCACGCGGATGGTCGGACGCGGAAAAACATGGCGGACCGGCAAGAACTAGTATGGCAGAGGTTCTTAAATACAGACATTTGTATGATTCAGCTCTCAGAGATCACCGTGATCAACATGTTGTAAATAATTCTTGGAGAGAAATAGCTCGCACTGTCGGAAAAGACGAGGACGCTGTTAAAAATGCTGGAATGCCGTGTTGTAAACAGTCATTTCTACTTCTACTATGGTGTAGTGTTGGATGCATGCCGTAGAGCTCCATGCTGCCCCATTCAGTTTGGGAGAATATTGGCTCACCGCAGAGACGAGCCGCACAAACCATAAACGCTGCGAGTTGTGAAGCGCGTTCCATCCGCGAGCCGCATCACCGCGCGGAAAGTGAATGCATCAAGCATAAACCAAGCTTAAAGTGCAAATGTGCTATAAAATATGGGACCCCAACTTTTTTTTTTCCCTTTGCATCACTAACTCATCAGCTTTTTCACAGATGAGCAGAGACAATATTAAAACAAAGAGATGCACCAGTTGCGGTTTGGGGGACTCATTCGGGGGTCGGGATTAAAATGACTTTTCTGCAGGGGCCTTGTTCCTCTCAAAAAAAAAACCCTCATGCAGACGGTTTGCTGCAAGCGGCTCCCAGAATGAGATATGTCTGAGGATAATGGGTTTAGAAAAAGACCTGGCGTGCATGCCGGAGCTGTAACATCATCCAGGTAACATCCATCATGTGGCATCTGCTGTAGTGGAGCAATCAGAAATTCATTGTCATGACTCATAATCTCATAATCATTTGATACAGTATATGAGTCAGTGTGAAGGAAATGTGGACGAGTTGCAATTAAATTAATAGAAAAAAGCCCACTTTAAATCCATCACACCGTCATTGTTAAAATATATCCCACCGCCGTGAGATGCATTACTGTGGGCATGTGTGTGATTGTGTTACTGAGTCAGCTTTGTGGCACGGCTGATTGAGTTTGCACGCTGGGGTGAAATCGTAGTCATGGAAGGCAGATAATGTGTTGAGCATGTGGAACGTGAAACCCAAGCTGTGTTTGGTGGTTCCATTGGAAAACCTTGCAAAGACACCGATGCCACTCTCACCCTGCAGACCTGTATTTAACAAACCATGATAAATGCTCCGCTCTGTTGTGTTTTGTTTAGTTTAACCTAAAGAGTTGTCTCTGCTAAGTGTCTGCTCTTCTGTATGGGTGATGAAATATACAGAAAAGTGTGTTTTATGTGGTTAAGTGTGTTTGCAGTCTGTAAGAAGTGCAGTCAAATTTTGCATTTTGAAATAAACACTAATTAAAATAAATCTTTGTATTTATTGGATGTTTTTTCCCTGATTGTTTTCTGTCTTTTCTGTTTTAGAGCAAAGAAATAGCATTCCAGCTGCAAGAAGATTTAATGAAAGTTCTAAATGAGCTGTACACAGTAAGTAATAATGACTGATTTTATCGTTACTAATACACAAACGTATTTGTCCTCACTGATATGAAGAAATTTTAACATTCAGCTAGCTCTTATCATGATCATTTATAAAGCTTTGTTATAGTTTTGCATCAATAACACTGATATCTAACAGATCTCATGGTGGATTGCACTTTTGCGAACATTCACCACACTTTTCACTCTGCAATGGAAGCTTAACGTTTTCCGCCATGCCCTTTGCCCTCGTGAACTGGCTATAAAAGCTCAGAAGTATCACGTTTGTGCATGCCTGACTCATTAGACCCCAGATTTTGCTTTTAATGGCCCTCATCAGTTTTCTTTTGCTCATGCAAAACCATAAAATGGTGACTGAGCCAAATGGGAATTGCTTTAAAGAATTCCCTTTGTGTTTTTCACATTGTTTGCTGTATCCATTAGCTGACAGGAGACAGATAAGAACCCTGGGAAAAGAGCGAGGCATGCAAAATAAAAATAAAAAACACCTGAGCACAGAACTATATCAGACCAACTTTCAGATGCATCCATTATTTACACATTGTCATTGCAAAATGTGTTAATCGTGCCTCTTATTGCAGGTACATTCCTCGGTAAAGTTGTGCTTTTCCAGCTTAGACGTATTTGCTAACTCAAATCTAAAATTAGCAAGTGCCAGCTTGAAACCGTCATCCATGATTTTGTAACATCCTTCCTCTGCAGCATCAATAAGTAATTCCTTCACCTCCTGCATTTGGTACAAAATGCTGCTGCAAGGTTCTTAACTGGTTTGGACAGAAGGTGCTCCACCTCTCTTGTTTTAAAGCGAAAGTATGAGATTGCAGATGCAAGCGGCCAAAATAAAATTTCTCCGCAGGGTGGCTGGGCTCTCCCTTATAGATGGGATGAGAAGCTCGATCATCCGGGAGGGGCTTGGAATAGATCCGCTGCTCCTCCACATTGAGAGATGCCAGTTGAGGTGGCTCAGACATCTGGTTAGGATGCCTCCTGGAAGCCTCCCTGGCGAGGTTTTATGGGCACGTCCAACCAGGAAGAGACCCAAAAGAAGACCCAGGGCACGCTGGAGGGACTAGGGGTGTTTCTCAATGTCGAGGTGCCTAAATTAAATATATAAGCGAGTTAATACCTGCTGACCAACCATAGATAACTTTTTAAATTAGCTGACTTACAGTTAAACTTGAAAATTGTCCCCGAAGTAGTTGCCGGCTTCTGATCCGCCATCCCTTTGAAAATACCGCAATGTGTTCTGGGAAATTTTTGACCAAGGCTAGGCTACAAGACACCTCATGTGTATCCTTTCTCAGCTAGCTAAACGGCTAACAAATGGAGAACACATGCCTCGGTAGAACATGAACATTGGAACACGCCTTGGCAGTTCCTGATGAAGTATCTCCTAAGCAACCAGGGCGGGACGAAGACATCAAGGCAAGGCTCCTTGGCATTGAGAAACACCATGTAGTTCTTGGTGGACCAGGGAATACCTTGGGATTCCCCTGGAGGAGCTGGCCCAAGTGGCTGGGGAGAGGGAAGTCCAGGCCTCTCTGCTTAGGCTGCTGCCCCCGCGACCCGACCCCGATAAGTGGATGCTAATGGATGGAATAATGGAAGTTAAATTAGGTCTTTGTTACTTAGAAATTGTGTGAAAAAGTCTTAATTTCCAGTTGCTGACAGTAGAAGACCACAGTGGTTACATTTCGGTTAAAGCTTCTGTTCCTCCAAACGACACGTTACTCTAAAACCGGAGTGTCACTCTCACTCCTGACTCACTCCTGATTTAGTCTGGTGTGTGTGACACACACACACACACACACACACACACACACACACACACACACACACACACACACTGCAACTATTGCATCATTCATTTTGCATGTGTTGGCCTCTGCCAATGACCAAACAGGCCTGGTTTGTCTCTAAATGCGTCCTACTGAAAAGGTAAACACAGCCAAGGCAGACCAGAAAGAGAGGAGCACAGGACCCGAGGTCAGTCAGTTATCTCTAAACTGGTTCCAGTTTGGCCAAAAGCCAACCGGAGAAAGGACTCCAGACAGATCAGGGGTTTGCTTTGTTGTTCAGCTCACACTAAAATAACTCTGTCTGTGGGCTGGACGTTTAGATTCTCAGATGGGTGAGTCTCTGGCCTGAGGTTGAGGTTTTATACAAAGTTTCTGGAGCTATAATTTGCTGGCGTGAGTTTATTCCAGGTTAAACCTCTGGTGATGTGTAAAGCTGCCTTTAGCTTCACTGGCAACCAAATCTGAACACATCAATAAAACATTCTTGGACACTTTATGAATTTTTAGTCATTTACAATTTTTTGCTCTCTCTCAACTTTCTGATTATTAAATGTGGTTTTCTTTTTTTTCTTCATGTATTTTTAAGATTCTTTTAGTGTTCTCCATTTGTAGTGACTCATGTTGGCATCATGCCATTGCATTAGCATTCCTCCCACATTTAGTGATGCATCTGCATCATCCTCAAAACCCTGAACTTGTTTCCGCTGCACTAATACCACCTTATCGTCTCAGACAGTTTGCTGTCCTCTCAAAAATGAGCCAGTTCCTGATTGAGCTATGGCTGCATGAGCAGCATACACTCCTGCTGATGGTGATGACTCCAGTTTTTAAGTGTTTCCAAAATATTAACAAGTTGCTAATGCAGAAAGTGAGGAAACTGTGAGATATATATTTAAATAATCTCAGTGATCTAAAATATTATTGCATGCTTTACAATTACAAGATGTAACGCTTTAACATCAAATGTTTAATTGCAAAAAGGGTATAATAATGCATGTGGTACTGATAACGTGAGGGACATTTTAAAAATTGTTTACCTTAGTAGTTTTTCCTCTGATATGCTTGGTCCGTGCCCTTCCAAGCTGTTAAAGGCTTATGGATTTGCGATAGAAACACATCTGATATGTTGACCGGATACGTGATGAATTGCAGTTGCGTCTTTAAAGGTGTGGATAACTGAAACCATTTTTAAATGTGTTTTTTTTATTATAATCGGTCACTCCTGAGTTTTTCATGCAGGCTGAACATGAAAATAGTCTCCTACATTAGCGTCTGATAGAAAATAGGCGGTGAACGCTAGGATTTGAAAATCCTCACAGAGCTAAATCACACTGAATCAGCATTCATGGACTCACCAATCTTAACGTATGACAGGGAAGGCTGTTGTTTTAACAGACGTCTCGGCTCGTTTAAGCTAACCGTTGGCATTAGCAACGCCACCACACAGCAGAACATCTCCAGGCCTGTGTTATTTGTGGAGCTAAAACATCAACATTACAAGACGGTGGTAGAGTAGCGTTGCTGTTATCCCATTCGAAGAGAGATATCCAAATATCAGGTAGCACGACTCAAAACTTCTGTCTAAAGCTCAGCTGTGATGTGGACAGCTTTTAGGTCTGATGAATGGTGCACTGGTATTTTTTTCTCCCCCAAGAACGACTTACATGCCAGAGACCACTGCAATTGAACCTCCCCTTTAAGGGTTGATCAATTTAACTGTGCTTTCTTTTTTCTCGCTCCACAATCAGAAAAGAGCAGTTTGGGAAAATGGCCTTTTCTACCTCAGAATTGTAAAGGTTCTTGATCATAAGGCATCTTTTGTTGTACCCGTAGGTGATGAAGACCTACCACATGTACCACTCAGAGAGCATCAACGCTGAGAGCAAGCTGAAGGAAGCGGAGAAGCAGGAGGAGAAGCAAATCGGAAGGGGCGATCCTGTCTTCAGCATACGAATGGAGAAGAAGATTGAGAAGATAAAAGAAAAGGTAGAAAATCTTTTTCACTGCCATAAATGGTAATGACAAAATTCTACATATAAATGAGCTACAGTCATTTTGTCACCATTTGCTGTTTTTCTGTTGGGAAAGAAAAACAAAACTTGTTTTTACAGAATTTCCCACAGTGACCAAAAACCTGTGTAGTTTTGGCAACAGCACAGTTTTCCCCTCTAATTTTCTGAGTTGAGGAAAACACACACTAAGCATTTTCGCAGCCAAACAACTTTTCTGGCTGACGTTTTAGTCTGAGCAGACCTGTAAGTTGTTAAAGATCTCAGTAAAATGATGAAAATGCCAAGGGAATAGTTGTTTTAACACAACTTTTCCAGGAATGCGTTCGGTATTGCTAATAACTGAACGATGATGAGTCAGAGCCCACTGGTCAGACGATGAACAGTGACTAATATCCTCGTATGCTCCCACTGAGAACACAGACTCTTTTTTTTTTAGTTTAGTTTCCTGTTTCGATTCTTGTTCTTTCACCTTCTATTTATGACAAAACCGAACATTTATTTCTGTTTCTCACATGAAAGCCCAATCGCCCGTCAACCCGGTCATTCGCCACTTCTTAGGCTGACTCCTTTTAATGCAATTTCTCTTTATTTTTCTCTAATTCTCTTGTCAGCGTCAAGCCAAGTACTCTGAGAACAAGCTGAAGTCAATCAAAGCGCGCAACGAGTACCTGCTGACCCTGGAAGCCACAAATGCATCCACTTTCAAATACTACATCCACGACTTGTCGGATCTAATTGATGTGAGTATGAAACCACACACTAGCTGCGTTTCTCAGTCCGACTGAAATCTTGGTTGATCGGAATTTCCGAATCTCTGTTCACATGGACACGAACTGAAATGATAACATGTAATGCTGAAAATATCTAGAGGTCACATTTTAAAGAGACTGCAGTTACAGATTTATGCCTTCAGATGGCAAAGTTGTGTTCTTCAGATGTGATATGTCGATGGATAAAACAGAGAAAAGCTGCTATGGATGCAGTGTTTCCCCTAGGAATTTTTCCTGCTCTGTGTGTGTGTGTGTGTGTGTGGGGGGGGGGGGGGGGGGGGGGATATGACATGTCTCACCTTTATGTTAATATTGTTTTATTTGATGCACTCCACTTTGATCAGCACCAATCCAGCAACTGCTGCATTTTAATAACTAGTGTTAAAGGTGAATACACCAATATTTGCACAAAAATAATTTTTGATTTAAACTCTCAGTGACACACTTTGCAGGTTTTTTTTGGCATTTAATTTTTCTTGGCGTCTGGAAAAACATCTCCTTCTGCCCCCCTTTATTTGACTTTCTGCCCCCTTTATTTGGGTCCAAGATCATTACTGGGCTGGCCCTATTAAACACTTTCTACACCCCTGCTTAGCAGAATTAATTAAGTATTTTTAAGCCTGTATAAAAATGACTGAAACACAAACACGGCAGTGACTGATGTATGAACGAGCCGTTTTCAGCTGTGTCCTGTCAAACGCACCACGTATGTTAAGAAAAAAGTAACTTTAAATATTCAAGCGAAAAAGAGGCGATCTGAAGAAAACCTAGGGAGCGCTGAAGAAACATCAGCAACAGTGAAGCAAGCACAGAGAGATCCGTTACTGTGTGTGTGTGTGTGTGTGTGTGTGTGTGTGTGTGTGTGTGTGTGTGTGTGTGTGTGTGTGTGTGTGTGTGTGTGTGTGTGTGTGTGTGTGTGTGTGTGTGTGCGTGGATGCACACACGCACACACTGCAGCGGCTGCAGTTTTGTGTGTAGGGAGGGGTGGGCGCTCTATGTGACTGGCCAATCACAGAGCGTGAAGACAGTCAGTTACCCAATGAGGATTTTCCTTTGGCACGATTACGGATATTTACGAGTTTTACTCGTTTCATGCTCGTATTCGTCAAAAATGCTTTATCCGTACCGGATACTCGTCTGAAATGAGTATCTGGCTCATCCTTAGCTGTAACCACGTTGCCCTGCCTCCTCCTCCTTGCTGCTTGCCGGCTGTGATCACAAGCAACAACAGAGTAGTTCCCGCTGCTTCTTCAGTAAACAGCGCAAAAAAAAAAAAATCAATAAAACTTGGGATCTTGTAGGCGTGGTGCTGGGATTTCAGCCGTGGCGGCCCGCCACGGCTACGCCTATGTAAGGGAAACACTGGGATGTCCATGCAGGGACACATAAAGGAGTGCTCATGCTTACAAATAGACCAGGGGTCATTAACTACATTTGTTGAAGGCTCAGGTTTTTTTCCAGAAGTCACTGAGGGCCAGATGCTCTTTTAAAATAAAATTCAAGTATTATTGTATCCAGTGGCACAAAAAGTGGGTATGCAGTCTATAAGGCGCATAGGGGCGCCATAGCGACGATGCAAAAATATTTTTGTCTGCATTTCTCGCGTGATAACAGCTGTGTTTTTTGTCCATTTGTGTATCTGCAAATTATTTAATTAATAACAGAGAAGTATGCGTGATTAGGCGCCCCTCTGTGTCTTAACATTCACCTACACACACACACACCGCACGTGCCCCCTCGATGCGCTAGGGCAAGGGAGCGCGAGGATGAAGCGGATGGCCACAGATCTAAGTTGTGTGTTTATTTATGAAAACTTTGTAGAATAAGTTCACACCAATAAGCGCCAACCGAGCCGAGCTCTGGTGTCACAAGGAGAGTGTCCACAGTGCCCCCGGACCCCCGTAGAGTAGTTCAAGATGTGTCATCTTTTTCACCTCTGCTCCTTCATGTAAATACCACACCTTGTGGTTGGGTATAAGAACTGGAAGCTATTCCAAATACAGTTTAAAAAGGCAGCTTTAAATGATGGGGTTCGATTAAGTGGTGTATGTGGTGGTGGTGGGGGGCTATTTGGGAATTGGGAGGGCGCCAATTATGTGGCTGCATACCCCTCTGAAAGAAGGTAGTTGCGCCCCTGGTTGTATCTTAATTTATTAATATTTAAATTGTCTTTGTTTTCCATCTCAAATGTTTTGATTTAGTTGTTTAGTTTAGTTTTAGTTGTTTTTGGAGAACGTAAACAATTATTGATATTTGGGACACAAACTTTACTGCTAAACTTAAGTCTCCCATCGGGGCCTAAACGTTGGGGGGCGGGGTGGAAAGGTCCGGCGGGCCTGATCTGGCCCGTGGACCGCCTGTTGAGGTTCATTTAAATAGACCCATCTAGATAAATATTGCTGGACTCAGCACCACACATTGTGTGATTATAAATATTTAGTTTTACATGCATCGTCCGTGCTCTTGTTCCTACGCTGACTTTTTCAGACATCACAACAAGGTGTGTGAGTGTCAGAAGGGGTGCAACGGTGTGTCACTAGAAGGAAAAGATGTTGAAAGCATGCTTGCCAAGCAGAGTGTTCTTGTTAGTTAGAATTCCTGCTTTCCCTTTGTGCCTTACAGCACGAATGCTTTGCTGGACCTTTCAGCCGTTTCACAGACAAACGTGACTTATTTATAATCAGGCTCACCTGGGTTATTGCTGATCGTTTTTAGACCTAGTAGAAAAGTTGCTGCACTACTTTCAGCTGTGTTTCTGAGGAAGCGGGGGCAGGTTGGGTTCCTAGCAGGAGTTTTGGGATTTTGTATTCCAAACAGGACTAAAGGAGGGAGAGACGCACAGCTTCTTCTGGGCTGCATGCTGTGTGCTGAAATTACTCCTCTCACTGCTTTGCGCACAAAACTTCACATCTCACCAGGGTGTGTGTGTGTGTGTGCGCGCGCGTGTGTGTGCGAGAGAATGAGTGATATAATGTGGGATGCTCTCTGTGTGAGCTGTATGTGCAGAGTCACGTACATTAATGATGAGATTTTTCTCCGGCTGAAGCAAAGTGTGGAAGCAGGTTGGAGGAGTAGAACTATTCCAGGGTGTAGTTTAATACTTGCTCTGAGCTGGGAGTATGTGTGTTTGGGTTTATGTCTGTTGTGTGTGAGCGTGTGTGTGCATGCATGTTCCCTGGGAAAACAAGGTATTATTATAAATGAGCACTAGACCCTAAAGAGGGCATTCACATAATAATCCTGGCTTACAAAACTTATTTCACCTGAATGTAACTTATACTTTTGGCCATGGGTATCATTTGGAAAATGCTAATTTAGAAAATAATTTAATCGCACATAAATAAAATTTTAATTATTTAGCCTGTTTCTGTGTTGTGTTTCGGTCTTGTTTGTTACCCAAACATCTCACGCTCCAAAGAACAGAATTTTATAAAATTCTCATAAATGCGTGTTTGATTGCACATCTACAACAGCCTGAATCACCGCCACATCGAATAAATATCTGCAGAAACAAAAAATGGCTGTAAATCGGTTAATTTTTAAGGCATTGAGCTGAAACTGAATGTGTTTAAAGCTGAGAATCACTGCTATGACATACCTTAAAACCAAGCCATCTGACTCTCGATCTGTTTTTTTTTTTTCACTCAGTGCTGTGATTTGGGCTACCATGCCAGTCTGAATCGCGCATTACGGACCTACCTGTCAGCTGAATACAACCTGGAAACCTCTCGCCACGAGGGCCTTGATATCATCGAGAATGCAGTGGACAGTCTGGACCCACGAAGTGACAGACAAAGGTTTATGGAGCTGTTCCCCACGGCCTTCTGCCCACCTGCCAAATTTGACTTTCAGCCTCACATGGGGGACGAGGTACATGAATCAGCTCTGATTATTCTGTTAACGATCATTTAGGGTAAAGTTTTATAAGTTTGGTTCACAATTGGTCAGAAAAAGGTCAAGAACAAAGTTATAGAGGGGGAAATTTTACTTTTTATTTATTTATTTAATTGCTCAACTACAGTTAAGATGTACAGACTGATTAAAGGTGCAGTATGTAAGAACATAGTAAGAATTTTACATTGAATCCCAAAAGAGTCTGTTTCAGTTATTTTGGAAGGAAGGTTATACTGAAACATATTTCATATTCAACTGGCTGTGGGGATTGTCAGTTTTTCTCCTTTCAAAACCAAGAAAGGAGGGACGTAACTACTGTTTACCATCAGCGAGTGTGGGGGTGCCGTGTCTCCTGCGAGCGAATACAGCAGAGCCGACAATTGTAATTTGTCGACTGCCGGCAAAAAGCTCCAGGGTTGTTTGAAGTTGTTGCGGTAACCAAATTTTACCACAGGATGTAATTTTTACTTAATTTCTACATAATGCACCTTTAAATTAGTAGGAAAAGGTTTCAGATGCTCTGATAATGAGTGTGGGTTTCATGTTACAGCTGGGCTGCTCAACCAAACTTTATGGGGCACAGAATTTGACAAATCGCGTGTTATTTCTTCCCCTGCAGTCAAGTTGTACAACATGTGTTGAAGTTTTATCGTTTGGCTGCCAGATTGATGATATCATGTCTGTTTGGTGGCTGCTGTTCAGCGGCTGTCTGCCTGACGTTTTGCAGAAGTTGCTGTGGTTTGTTCTGCAATCAAAGAATTCTGATGTCTGTAGACAAAAATCAGGTTATCGGAGCATGACGGTGTGTTTTGTCTTTTATTTTAGGTGTGTCAGATCTCAGTACAACCACCAGTGAACGGGGAGCTCATCCAGAGGTTCCAGCAGCTGCAGTCTCGTCTGGCTACGCTGAAGATTGAAAATGAAGAGGTAAAAGAGTTCCACAAATGTTTTAGATCAGAAATTCTGATGTTTGTGGTGAAGTGCGGGTTTAGATCTGGTAAAAATGCCCTTTTGACTCAGTTTTGTTGACAGGAAGTTTAGTGTTGCTGCTGCTGGAAGATGTTGGAAGCTCTAGAGATTTAAAGATGCTAAAAAAGTTTACTTTTACTAAAAGTCATTTAAGGTGAGACAGAATATAGTTGCTGAAGTATCTTCAGTTTAAAGTTTTATTTTGTATCTGCACGAACACACATTTATACATTATGTATTTTTATCCAGTACATACCCTGCAGGCAGCCATCAAGTATTACTTTTACTCTTTCTTTTTTTTTTTGCTGCAACTGCTGAAATTTACTGTTTTATTTGTGCAAACCTGGCCCTTGCTGCTCTAATTTTTAACATTAAATGTGTCACTTTAAAGTCATTAAAGGTTCTGTTTTAATGTGCCTGCAGCATGCTAAAGGGACTTGACATTTTGGTGTTGAACAAAAAGAAGCTGCGCTTTTGACTGGAGCTGTCACCCAGTGTGCGCTCACCTCCATCGGGCTGCATTTTATATCGCATCAGACCTGCTTCTTCTCTCTCTGAGCTCGTTTTCCCGAATGTTTGGCTCCCTGAGCCGTTTCTCTTTCATCCTTCCACAAAGGCTCAGGAACAGGTCACTCAAATCCCCAGTTTGATCAAGATGTCAAAATACGAGTGGAAAGTGACATCTTTAGATTGTAAAAATTGAACTTTGCCAGTATTTAAAGGCTGATTTAAAAATGCAGCAAATTTATCCTGATTATAAAGTAGACCCATGTGGTCAAGTCATCTGTCTTCTAGAGTTCTGCATAAAAAAAAAAAAAAAAAGACTGGATAAATAAATAGTTCCAGAAAGAAAATGGACGTCTTCGGTATTTAATCTCAGTGAAACGAACACGATACTTCATCAGTTTAATGCTTTCAATGTGAAAAAATTAAAGGTGTGGAACAATAAAAAAACATTTTAAAATTATTATTTCTGATTATAATCCGTCACTCTGAGGTTCAGGCTGAACATTAAAGTAGTCTCCTACACCTATCGCCTGCATTAGCTTCTGATGGAAAATGAGCTCACTCATTGTGGCTCACGGTGGGAATGCTGTTGTTTGTTTAGCACCCAGGAAGCAGCAGAGAACATGTTTATGTTTACGTATTTAGCAGACGCTTTTGTCTAAAGCGACTTACAAGTGATAATCGGCATGTTGCCCTTGAGGCTAACAACAACAATAACAACAACAACTTGACATCAATCATGGAGAGGAGGGAACAAGGAGTGGACAGTAGAGAGGGGGGATGGGTGCAGGGAGGGTGCTAGTTTAGAAGATGCTCTCTGAAGAGCAGGGTCTTCAGGAGTTTCTTGAAAATTGAAAAGGAAGCCACTGTTCTGGTAGTGCTTGGAAGGTCATTCCACATTTGTGGAACGATGCATGAGAGGAGTCTGGATTGTCCTGAGCTTGGTGTAGGCACTGCTAGCCGACGATCCTGTGATGACCGGAGCGGCCGGGCCGAGACATAAGCCTTTGCAAGAGGATTCAGGTAGATGGGAGCCGTTCCATCTCGGACTTTGTATGCTAGTGTTAGCAATTTGAATTTGATGCGTGCTGCTAGCAGTAGCCAGTGGAGCTCAATGAACAGAGGGGTGACGTGTGCTCTTTTTGGCTGATTGAAGACCAGACGCGCCGCTGCGTTCTGGACCATTTGAAGAGGTCTCACAGTACAGGCTGGAAGACCAGTTAGAAGGGCATTGCAGTAATCGAGGCGGGAGATGACAGTAGATTGCACCAGGAGCTGGGTGGCATGTTGTGTTGGGTATGGTCTAATGGAGATGGAGAACATCTTGACTAGAAGACGCTAACCATTAGCATTAGCAACTCTACCACATGGCTGAACTCCTCCAGGCTTGTGTTGTGTGTGTGGAGATAAAACATCAGTGTTGCAGAGCAAATGGAGTCAGTGGTAGAGTCACGTTGCTGTTATCCAATCAGAGGACACGTGTCTAAATATCAGGAAATAAGACTCCGAATCCTGCCGTCTGAAGCTCATCTCTGATGTTGCTGACTTCTAGTTCCTGAAAATGTCAGAATGACTTACAAGGCGTTCATTCCAACTAGAGACTGATACAAAAAAAAAAGCTGTGCAGGATTAGTGAGTGGTGTCTGTGATCGATGGTGGTTTTTAATTCATCGTGCTCATCAGTTTGGTCTGTCAGAGGTGGGATTTCTTTGCTTTGGTGTGTTGGAAAGAGAAGAAATAGACAAGGAGGTATTATGGGACATTTCCAGCTTTAATTAATTTCACATTAACAATCAAACGCGGTTTAAAGAAGATGCGCAGTAGATTTTATTCATTTATTTATTTTACATCTCATGGATTGCTTGCATGTGCATCATTTATAAGGAGAGATGACAGCTGAGGAGAACAAAGTCATGCTCTGCAGAACAGCCTTGTTTCCCAGTGTTTGTGTAGGATCTCATTTTTACACCTGGCTGAGCAATTGTGGCTGATCAAATACACACCAGTGTTTTTCACCTCTGTTGATCTCACTGGACAGCAACCGTTGGCAACAAATGGCAAACTGCGTCTGTGAGAGAGTTTATACGGGTTCCTGGTTCTCTTGCGTTCTTTGGGTGGTTGCGAGAATCTGGAACTTCTCTTATTTTCTGAGTCAGAAAGGTTGAGAAAACCTTTATGACTCAACGTCTGACTTTCTGATTGTGAGAAATTTAGAAAAGGACGACACATTGAAAATGAAGGAGGTCTAAGTGGCAACATGAAATTGTGAACATGATTTATAGAAATGTGACACAAATATTGCAATTTATTGTAATGTTTTACAATATTGGCATATACGTACCAATTCAGTGTAATTTCTTTGGATAGGTTGTGTATTTTTGCACAGTGTTTGGGAATTGTTGAAATGTTGAGTCTGATTGTTTAAAAGGATCTGGTAGAAAAACTTGTAATTACTGGCTGCAGATATCAGCAGTTAAATAACTGGAAATTCATTTTAATAATCAGTTTCCAACTAATTACTGTAGCAGGGTGTACTGTATTTCCAAGCACGTAAAAATGCACCTGCGCGCGCGTGTGTGTGTGTGTGTGTGTGTGTGTGTGCGTGTGTGTGTGTGTGTGTGTGTGTGTGTGTGTGTGTGTGTGTGTGTGTGTGCGTGTGTGTGTGTGTGTGTGTGTGTGCGTGCGTGTGTGTGTGTTTCATCTCCTTGTCGGCCTGCTTTGCTGATGTCCTGGTGGGTCAGAATTGGAGAGCACTAAAGCTTCAAGTCAGGATCACCAGATGGCCTCTTTTCCTGGACATGTCATGCCAGATACATCCTTGGAAAAATGAACTCTGAAAGCGACCTATGAGCCCCGCTGTCAAGCGTACGGGACAGAAAGTGTGTGTGTGTGTGTGTGTGTGTGTGTGTGTGTGTGTGTGTGTGTGTGTGTTTTACTTGGACAGGAAGAGCTACAGGGCAGAGCTTTATAGAAGTGCAGCTGCATCCTCAGACCACTGTTGAATTCCATCAAACGTTGAAAAAGCTGAATAACTGTCCATCACGGGGGGGGGGGGGGGGGGGGGTTATCTAATGGCTTGACATGGCGGGTTTGTTTTGCTACAGATCTCAGGGAGTCACATCGGTGTGTGTTATGTGTGTGTTCACAGCTTGATGATCAGCAGATTACACGCTTCCTGCAGGGTCTGTTGAAAGCTTCTGGACAGCAGTCTGGCTTCTGAGACGTGCCAATAGGTGTTTAAATACCCGTCATATGATTGGTTACTGCTCACTTGCAGAGTCACGCTCCTTTAAAATGCATCAAGTAGATTTGTTGTGAATTTTGCTGGGACAAAAAGTTGCCTTGGCTCACAGAGAGAACCGATTCCACTCATATTACTGCTGAAATGTTGATTTTGAACTTTGGGAAATAGTTTAGCATGAAAGGCAAACTTGACTCCATCCAGAGGGACTTTGTTCAGGCCTGTTGTGCAGCTGCAGGGAGCGATGAGCATATCCAGCGGGGTTCTCCAAGAGCGCTGTTGTAATTGAGCCCAGCGGTGAACACTGGTAACTATTCACCTGCTGAATAATGGATAGACTCAACAGCTTTTTCACTGGGAGCAATTCTCTTTCGCATGCATGGCTCCTCTCTTTAAAATGACAGCTGGAACGCTCCCTTCCAATGGGGCCACCCGCAATGAGGCTGCCAGGCGGAGAGGAATCCCAAACACACTTGGAAAATGTGTAACCAGTGACTCATTGTTGCCATAAATAACATATTTAAAGCAGCGGTCACAACAATTTGAAACGTTTATTTTTTTTCATAGAAGAAGTAAACATTTTTAAGGACAGAATTAATTGTTTCCTTGCGTGCTGTCGTTACCCGTGTTCCAACTTGCCGTGTGTTTTTGTCCAACGACTGCTTGGACAACATTTTAACTACGTGCACGTTGTGTCTTAGACATGTATGTCAGTGCTGTGATCCATCTCAGCAACACATGAACGTCTTCCCCATGTTTTAGTATTTTTTTTTCCTACTTTTCTGGAGGCTGAATGACTCACGGGTCAAGCCGCTGTTTAAAGCAAACAAGCTGTTGCTCCGTGCTTCCTGTGTAACCATGCACACCAGGAATCCACCTGTTTTTTACATCAGTCGGAGGTCATTACAAACACTGGACTTGGGTCACCACCTTAAGTCAGAGGGCGCTGTGTTGATTAATAAACACACCCACATCACCTCGCTTCTACTCCAGCTTCACTGGCTGCCATTCAACTTCACGGTTCATTTCAAGATCCTGGTTCTTGTTGGGTATTTTTATTTATTCAATCCAGGTGTACCTCAAAGAAAGTCCAAAACACACAAGGGGGGTTAGAGATAATATTGTTATTAATACCATTTACCAATAAACACAAATAATCAATAATCAGATTTTGCAAAATCGGAGAGAGTAAAGTAACACACCAGCCAAGGGAGGTCGGTTTAGTCTCTCGACGAGCGGGGGCCCATCAAAAGGTTTTATTCACAGATGACATATGACAGAGCACACACACATTGAAAGATCACCACCCCCACTCCTACACAGACAGTAGATTTTCCCAGGTTCAGAGAAACACTCCATCTGGACTTCAATAGGGAGCTTGTTGTGATAACAAAACTTACAAGGTCGACTTTCCCCTGTAGCAGGGCCCGGTTTAATCACCCCAGATGGTTCCCAGACAAAATCATATTTACCACGTTAAATGTGAGTAAGGCTAATGAACTCTGTTTGAAAAAACAATCTTTTTATCCAACAGTTCTGGTCTATAGGGCCTTACATGGACAAGCACCATCTTACATTGGTGATCTTCTTAGTCCCTACACCCCCAGCAGGTCCCTGAGGTCCAGTGATCAAAGCCTACTGGTTGTGCAGCACCAGGCTAAAGACCAAAGGTGACAGATCATTTGCTGCTGTGGCCCCCAGACTCTGGACCTCTCTCCCCCTGAGCCTGAGATCAGTGGACTCCTTTAAAAAGCAGCTGAAAACTCACCTGTTCACGATGGCTTTTGTGTGACCTTCATCACCCTCTCCTTGTTCTGCTCTCCCTACCTATTCCACCTTTCTCAGGATCCACTGATTTCCCTCTTTCCTATTCACTCTCTCTTTACATTTCTAATCACAATTGTGTATTTTTTACTGATTTTGAATATTTTTAGTCATTTTCTAAATAATTGTTTATATTTGTTTTTGTGAAGCGCCTCGTGATTTTTATCCTGAGAGGCGCTATAGAAATGATACTTTCTTAATTAGGTGAAACTCCAGCTTTAAGTGTTTTAATCTCTAGAGCCGAGTTTGCCTACTTACACCTGAATCTACTAGAATCAGAAGTATGCTTGTCAATTTCTCTGGGAAGTTGGTTGTTATTGTTTCCACTTCAGTCGGACTTAATTTCCTCTGCATCAGTGACTCAAACTCACATTTGTCATTTTCCACGTATTTTTTTATTTTTACTTCGAAGGCCTCGTGCTAAACTGGTTTAATAAACAAGTCATTTTATAAAATGCCCGTTGGTCATTTATTTTGATTCAGTTAAATTCAAAAATACTTTATTAATCCCAGAGGGAAATTGATTGCTGTAGTAGCTCAGAATAATAATAATCAAGTCAAAGAGTTATTGTATATTACGATGGCTGTTGGCAGGAAGGATCTCCAGTAGCAGTCAGTGTTGCAGCGAAACTGAAGAAGCCTCTGACTGAAGACACTCTTCCGTTGTCGGACAGTCTTGTGAAGAGAATGCTCAGGGTTGTCCATCATTTTCTTGATTCTCTGGAGAATCCTTCTTTGCATTATCTCCTCCAGTGATTCCGAAACTGCCGAAACTCTGGCTGAGTCCTTGAAAGGGCTTGGAGTTCCTCCATCTTGTTGGCCAGTGATCTCACATTGCCCATTATGATCGATGGAAGAGATGGTTTGAATTTCCTCTTTCTCTGTCTCTGTTTTGCTCCCGCTCTGCACCCACGCTTCTTGCATTTTAGCTCATTTGGGATTTGTGGCTTCAGTTGAGGTATTATTTCAGCCTTTTCCAATGTTAATCAGCTGCTCCCCATTGTAAACCAGCTTGTTGCCAAGGTTACGCATCATAACAAATGCTCAAAAAGTGAAAAAAGCTAAAAAAAAAAAGCAATAAAAATCCGCCAAGCTTCACAGCACCAGAAACAGAAAAGTAAAGTTTTCACGAACAGAACTCAGAAGACCCGTAATGATGCCAAACACAGTAAAGTTCCTTAAGTCTTTATTAGATATGGTGTTACCGTAGAGGGCGAGGCAGGAGACAGAGTCGGAGAGGAGGCGAGGGTCAACACCAGATCGGACAAGCAAACAGGCTGGAGACGAGGTAGAGGACAGGCGAGGGTCGTGATGGCAGGCAGAGTACAAGGCAGGGGTCAGGCGAGAAAACGAGGTCCGGAGGCCGAGATGAGGCAGGGTGAATGGCTGGAAGATTTACTAGCAAAATGGCATTCAATAATCTGGCAGTGACTGGATAGCTGGATGGTTCTTATAAAACAGGAGGAACAGGTATGGTGAATGAGCTGAGGAGTGAGGAGCAGGTGAAGTGGATGAAGCTGATTGCGGTTGCCAGGGAAACAGGGCTCGTCAGGAGCTTGATGAGGGGACCAGGTGTGCTGCATGAAGGCTGAAAGATTGAGAGTCATGACAAAAGTGTCCAAAAAAATACAGTTTTTCTTGAGAAACTAGAAGAAAAAATGCCCAAGAAAAGGCAAAACTTACATATTCAATTCAATTCAATTCAAAAATGCTTTATTAATCCCAGAGGGAAATTGATTGCTGTAGTAGCTCAGAATAATAATAATCAAGTCATCAAAGAGTTATTGTATATTACAATGGCTGTTGGCAGGAAGGAGCTCCAGTAGCGGTCAGTGTTGCAGCCAAACTGAAGAAGCCTCTGACTGAAGACACTCTTCCGTCGTCGGACAGTCTTGTGAAGAGAACGCTCTGGGTTGTCCATCATTTTCTTGAGTCTCTGGAGAATCCTTCTTTGCATTATTTCCTCCAGCGGTTCCGAAACTGCTGAAACTCTGGCTGAGTCCTTGAAAGGGCTTGGAGTTCCTCCATCTTGTTGGCCAGTGATCTCACATTGCCCATTATGATTGATGGAAGAGATGGTTTGAATTTCCTCTTTCTCTGTCTCCGTTTTGCTCCCGCTCTGCACCCACGCTTCTTGCATTTTAGCTCATTTGGGATTTGTGGCTTCAGTTGAGGTATTATTTCAGCCTTTACAATGTTAATCAGCTGCTCCCGATTGTAAACAGCTTGTTGCCATGGTTACGCATCATAACAAATGCTCAAAAAGTGAAAAAAAGCTAAATAATAGCAGTAAAAATCCTCCCAAGCTTCACAGCACCAGAAACAGAAAAGTTAAGTGTCCAAAAATACAGTTTTTCTTGAGAAACTAGAAGAAAAAATGCCCAAGAAAAGGCAAAACTTATATATAGTCAACAGAGCTACTCCAACATGCAGCCGCCCAGAGCAGCGCAGTTCCGGATGCCATGAACACAAGGTAAAAGAGGAATAATCTCTAGATTTAATCTCTAGAATCATGCTCAACATAAACATGTGAGCTATTTTTTGAGGGGAGTTTTATAATCTCGGAGTCTTGTTTGTAAGTGAGGGAAGGACGGAGGAGGAGAGCGACAAATTGATCTGGGCAGCTTCTGTAGTGATGCGGGCGCTGAACTTTTCTGCTATGGTAAAAAGGGATCACAAAACACTTAAAGTAACACAGAACAGTTTCCTGCTTCTCCACCCTTCTGGTTGAAAGTGGAATTACCACTGTCGTAAACAACCCTGCTGCAGCTAGCATTAACAATGAGCTAACACTAAAACAAGCTAATGAATACTGCAATAGTAAAAAGATCCACACTGTTGGACAAAGATATTATTACTTACAAGTCCAGTAACAACAAAGCCAGATCGCCATCAGTCATTTTGTAGTCTCCTTTAGCTCCCTCAAACTAGCGTAGGCCGCGCCAATGTTCACTCTGGTTTTAGCTCTTTGCTTCGCCTCCAAAGACATTACTCCCTTATGTCCAGGCTCCGGCATGGTGCCAACAGTAGAAGCAAACATTTGTTTCTTCTTCTTGTGCTTATTTATTGATGATCGGTGAACTAAAAATGTTAACCGGTGGCATTATAGGTAACAGCCACAAAGCGGGTTAAGAGCTCCCCCTTTAGAGAACCGACCCACTCCAAAAAACGTATGAAGTGCAGTTTTTGGTCAGCAGAGGACTGCAGAAACTGGTCAAGTTTCTAACTCAACAATCACTGCGATTAATGTTAAAAGTCTATCTTAAAGTTTAAAAACAATCTGTTACTTTAATTTACTCATCGATCTTTGTTCCAATCCTCACCGATGTCCATGGGTTTTGGGTAATGAATATAAGAACAAGATCTGTTTTAGATCTGCACAATGTTTCCTCGTCAGATTGTGGCTTATTTATTTATTTATTTATTTATTTATTTTGCTTTTGAGGGCCCGTTACATGTGCTTTTATAACTCATGCCACCAATACACAGTCAGCCTGGAGCACGTGCACAGGTTGAACATTTTTCTCCAATAAGTGAGGTGGGCACACTCGGCCAAGTCCTGATATTTATGTGCTGCAGGAGAAGCGGAGTTGACAGGGAGAGTGGTGGTTATGGAAATGAATCTTTAAAGTCTGCAAGTGAATGTACCATCTCCAGACCCTCTGAGTGCAAGCAAATCGGTTGCTTTGGCAGGGAGTCGTGCTCAACAGCTGGTGGACGTTCAAGGATTGCACGTCTTTTCAGAAAACACCTGAAATTTTCGACGTGTCAGGAGACGGAGAGTGTGTTTTAGTGAGTGGGATGATGGAAACATGGTGGTGCTGAAGGGGTGACATTAGGCAGATTTTGCTTAGACCAAGTCTTCCCCTCCATCTCAACAGGTCAAAAAGACATCAGAGGCCACTTTGACCACCATCCAGGACATGGTAACCATTGAAGACTACGACGTGTCCGAATGCTTCCATCACAGCCGGTCCACCGAGTCTGTCAAGTCCACTGTGTCAGAGACGTACCTCAGCAAGCCCAGCATTGCCAAGAGGAGGGCCAACCAACAGGAGACAGAGCAGTTCTACTTCATGGTGTGTTCCTTCACTTATCATTTACATTTTGTAAAGCAGACAGCTCTGTTGATCAAGTTAAAGATAGACATGCTCTGTTAAAGGCTCTAAAAAGGCTCTCGGCGCGTCCTTTGCCCTTGGCTGCCTTATCAATGACTGCTGTCTTGAGAGCTGGCTCTCTGGCCGGCACTCAGGGCCGCCGTGTAATTACTCTCAATTCTCCACAGAAATTCCGTGAGTTTCTGGAGGGCGACAATCTCATCACCAAACTTCAGGCCAAACACGACCTGCTTAAGAGGACGCTTGGCGACGGTACGGCCACAGACCTTTTGCTTTCATGAGTTCTAACTTTTTTTTCTGGTCCTGTCCATTCTTTCTCCCTGACAAATTAGCCATTATCAGTACCACCATCCATCCATCCTTGTCTGCTTGTACGGAGTCAGTTCACAGGGGTAGCAGCAGCAGAGAAGCCCGGACTTCCCTCTCCCCAGCAACTTCAGCCAGTTCCTCTGGGGGAATCCCAAGGTGTTCCCTGACCAGCCGAGAAAAATAGTCCCTCCAGCGTGTCCTGGGTCTTCCTTTAGCTCTCCCCCTGGTTGGACGTGCTCAGAAAACCTCACCAGGGAGGCGTCCAGGAGGCATCCTAACTAGATGTCCGAGCCATCTCAACTGGCTCCTCTCGATATGGAGGAGTAGTGGGTCTACTCCAAGCCCCTCACGAAAGACCGGGTTTCTTAACCTAATCTCTAAGGGAGAGCCCAGACACCCTGTGAAGAAAGCGATCTCATTCTTTCGGTCGCTTGTGACCATAGATGAGGGTAGGAACGTAGATTGGCAGGTAACTTGAGAGCTTTGCCTTCTGGCTCAGCTCTCTTCACCACGACAGACCGACACAACGCTCTGCAGACGCAGCACCAATCCACCTGAAGATCTCATACTCCTCCACACCTTCTTTATCGGTACACAACTTCGTCATTTCATTTATTTTCAAATCTGACTTTTGTAAATATAACTTTTCGTTAGAGAAAACTGACATTTGTTTTCTTTTATTTCCATCAAGTGAAACTTCCTTGATGTAATCTGGATTTTAGCCAGACACCTGATGGGGGATTATGAATGATCGATCTAATGTGGCTGATTTTGTGCTTGTTTGGTGGATTTCCATTGCGGCAGACTCCCCTCGTTCCACATGGCTGGACTCTTGCTTGCCGCGGTGGTCTCCGTAAAATCGCCCACTTAATGAGTAATCAAGCTGCGCGCTAACGACGATGAGAAATTCCCGCTGCTTCTCGCTCGCGCTCCGTAATCATTGTTATTGTCAAAGAGCTGCAGAGCAGAGTGAGTCAGACAAAGAGGCGAGTTATATCCTGCTCGTGTTTTCATGTAATGCTCAAGTTTTTCCACATTATGATGGGAGCTTTGGTCTGTCCTTTTCTTGTCATCTCTCATATCTTTTAAGTAGCCTGTCAAGTGAGTACACCTGCAATTATCACGTCTGCGTGCTTAGATCATTTAAACATGCTACAGTTCCCTGTTTTTTTCCCCTATACTTTAATTGTATGAGATGGTGTTGTATGTGAGTGTGCATACATGCAAATGTAGGTGTGTGTGTGTGGGGGGGGGGGTTTGTTTGTGCTGCTCAAGGGGCCAGCAGTTGTCGACAGATGGCAGACTTCAAATGCCTCACTGGCCATGTGCACATTTCACTACAGGGACCTTAGAGACAGGTCCTGGCATGTCCACACGACCAGCTCCAGCCTCACGTTTCTCCTCTAATGCCTCTTCTCTTTGCTACAGGCCACAGAGCTGACTACATGACCACAAGGTAAAATACACACTTGTGCATCACACACATCAGCCCCTGTGCATAGTGACTTCACATTACATGCAAGTCCTGTTGTAACTGTAACAGGGACAAGAAGCGATGCAGCTCATCAAGGTTTTGCAGCGGCGCATTTTTATTTGTATGATTGAGCAGCAGAAAAAAAAAAGTCCTGGACTCTTTTAATCTTCATTGTGTAGGTCACAAGAAGTCAAACTGCGTTATGTCACTCACACACACACACACACACACACACACACACACACACACACACACACACACACACACACACACACACACACACACACACACACACACACACACACACACACACACCAACAGAGGCTGTTCCCTGCAGGACCTGTCATGAGATGGATGCTGACGCATTCACAGCTCCCAGCAGGTCTAACATTTCTCTACCCTGTGATATCTTGTTGTGCAAAAAGAGAAAAAAACAGACGATGAAGACAAACGTTTTTAGGCTGCAGAAGATTTTTTCAGGTAGCCTTTTTTATGTCCTTCATGTGCAGTAGATCAGGTTTGAGGAACTCTAGTGAAAAACTATTAACTCATTCGCTGCCAGCCACTTCCTGATCACTAACGGCCTTCGCTGCCAGCGTTTCTCACCGTTTTTACTGTTTTTAAGAGTCACAGAACGTTGCGCGCTAGCATGATGTCGATGCCAAAACAACCAAAACTAAGAGGAGACTCACCTCTTACATCAGGAAGAAGCCGCGTGTTTTGAGCGTTATCCGTTCTTTCATAATCCGTTGTCGAATTGTGATCGGCAGACGCTTCTCCGGTTCGCGCCTCACTTTTTTTTACAGGAACGGCCCAAAACGATCTCCAAACACATGGATGTGATGCTTCCTGATCATGTGATCTGTGACGTATGCAGATGAAGATCGGCTTCAGGGCTGAGATGTTTGTTCTCTCAGCGCGGGGGCTCGTTCCGATGCTCAAACAGTAAAAAAATGCAAATGACGACTTTAGTCGTCAATGGCAGCGAACGGTTGGATCTAAAATGACGACATTAGTCGTCAATGGCAGTGAATGAGTTAAAACTGATTTTTTGCTGTTTTTTTCTAACACATTCTTTGTATTTTAGACATCCCAATGGGCTGTTCAAAACCCACACTGGCAACCGGCGGGCTAGACCCCGCTCTCTGTTTAATGTTAGGTTATTTAATGGAAATTTGGAGTCATTTATCAAGGTACTGATTTGAAATCTGCTGGATGAGTTTCCTTCTCCTCCGGCTTTCTCTGTTTCTTTATCTTGCTCTGGACTTCTGATCGTTTCAGTGGGTTCCCCTAAATCATCTTAGCTGTGATTTATTGTTATTTAAAAGAAAACTGTAAATTGTGTGTGCTAAGATGGATTCTGGAAACCTTCACTATGAGTCAGGCAGCTTGGGCAGCCTGCGCCTGAGGTGTGGGGTGGCATTGATAGATTCGGGGGGTCGCTGGAGGTTCGGAGCAGCAGTCAGAGGGATAAATATTTGCGTCTGTCAGCTCCCCCCGGCTCACTGCTGAGCTGGCATGTCTGAGCTGCTCTGGCAGAGAAATTCTCTGTTCCGGGTCCAGAGTGAGCGCAGAGGGCAGTGACAACAGCAGGACAAATGGTAGTAAGGGTGCGGATGCCAGACTGATAAGGTGTGCTGCCTCCCTCCTCCGGCCTTTTACCCTGCCTCTCACCAACGGCCAAGTCCAGTCCTGTCTGGTTCTGTCCGGCTTCATTTAGGGGGGGCTTGGTGCCAACACAGGCAATGATGAAGGGTGCTTTAATCCTAATCTTGATCTATCTTTTTCTCTTTATCTCTGTCTTTTTTTTCCTCCATCTTTATCTGCTGTAATTTTCCTCTGTAGCCGTGGACGACGGAACTCACACACTCGACATCAGGTAGACACTTTAGGCCGCTTGTCTTTTCCCTCTTCGTTCATCTGCCCTGCATCAACAGCTTTCCCCTTCTTGGTTTGCTCATTTTAATTCACTAGTTTCTGAAACCAGCCTCTGACAGACTGATTTGAAGATTTCCTCCTTCTAAGTTACATTTTGGGTTTGTTTATGCAAATCTCCAGTTTGAAACACAACCACATTGAGATTTTATTCAGTCTATGTGGGGAAAAGAAGCCGTCATCCCAAACTTGCACGTCTAAAACCTGTTATGTAATCCAGCTGCACACAGGCCTGCGATTCAACCCCTGTTGCTCCACGTTTTGGGGGGATGATTTTTATGTTAGAGCTCGTTGCATCCTCCTGAGGGCTCTAAACAAATATGCTGTTAAGTGCCTGTCAAGTATTGAATTTCATTTTAGAGCAGAGCAGACGAAGAGTCGTCATCTAAGTGCCTAAAGGAGGCTCACATCCAACATCTCCAGCCCTGACCGCCATGTTAAATGTGTTTTATGTATTAAACACAGGCGGTTTGTAATCGACAACATTCAAATATGTCATTTAGCAACCCCAGAGTGTTGGATAGTTGCTCTTTTCTGCATGGTTTTTGCTATAATCCATAATCTCAAATTATTACCTAAAATGGGTGGCATTGACTAAAAACAGAGGTGACTTCAACTCAGTCTGTCTCAAGAATTTAACAAGTTAGGCCATGTTTGCATGTTTAGCTTTGGAATTATTTTTCTCATGTTAGAGCCTTTTATTTGAGTGTATTTTTTATTTTTATTTTTTTACCAATTTGCAAAAAAAAAAAAAAATTCTATTTCTGGTAGGGATGCACCGATGGATCGGCATTTGATCCCAATCGGCCGATAGCGCCCCTATCGGTTTTGATCGGAGTTTTCAAAATAGATCAAAGCAGACCGATCAGACCATTTTAGATTAGGTTACATTTCCTTTATTCCCAGATTATGTAGTTTGTAGCACTCATTATAATGTTGTAGAAAATTTCTGGCCAATCCACGTGATCGGTATCGGTGATCGGTATCGGCGATCAGCATTCTTTGATATCGGTATCGGTGATCGGCAGCAAAAAACCTGATCGGTGCATCCCTAATTTCTGCCATCAAAACATCATCTACAACATTTTACTGGCATTTACTGTAAATTAAAATAATTGGGATATACACTAGTGTTAAAAACTTTCTATTCATTAAATATAAATGTTAATGTTGTTGTCAGATAAGAAACCAGTGAGGCTCTAGCATGTATTCATTGGATACAAACGAATATCTCAGATTTTATTAAGAAAATAAAGGTTTTGCTTTTCTTTGACTCCACAGGACTCAGGCCAAGCTATCCCCCGAGTGGTTGAAAGTTGCATCCGCTACATAAATCTCTATGGTGAGTCATTTTTCACCAATCCAGACTTTTTTTTTTATTAAACTCCTTTCATAACCCAACTGTGACCTAGAAGGTTTCTTTGGTTTTAGGAACACATTCTTCTAATTGCTCGGGTGTGTTCATAGTGACGTTTTTAATAAAACTGTTTGCTTCAGCCTCGTTGCTGTTATGGGAAAATTCAGACTTCATCCAGTTTATAGCTTCGGCCTCCCAGACAGACATGTTGGACCAGAGAATCGTGTAAAAGTTTGTTTTAATTAGGATTAGAAAGGAATCTTAGAATTTTGTCCCGTCGTTTGACCTTTCCTGACATTAAGTCCTAATCCTTGCTGGAAGACGTTAAAGTTAAGCCTGGCTGTGGTCCCTCAGACTCGTTATTATCTTTAATCAGCAAAGTGGAGAGCGTAGGCGAACAGTAAGAGTCTTATAGGATCCACTAGACTTGCTGAGTGAGGGTTTTCTTGCATAAATGAGCCTCACTTTGGAATTAAATATGTGTTAAATGTCTCCTTTGTATTAAAGGCCTGCAGCATCAAGGGATCTTTCGTGTTCCTGGATCCCAGCTGGAGGTCAATGACATCAAGAACTCATTTGAAAGAGGTAAAAGATTTACTTCTCTATCTTGGTTATCTCCTTCACCTGGGAATGAAGTTTGACTCATTCTGTTGACTTTATCTAAAAGTATCCTCACTACACCCAGATTTCACATAACAGTATCTTTTTTTTTTTTTTGCTAAACATGTCTATGTTGTGGTTTCATATGCCCGTGTTTCAGGAAACGACCCTCTGGCCGACGATGAGAACAATCATGACATCAATTCGGTGGCTGGAGTCCTGAAACTTTATTTCCGTGGTTTGGAGAATCCACTTTTCCCCAAAGAGAGGTTCAATGAACTGATGGCATGCATCAGTAAGAAGTTTTATTTAATTTAGTTTCTAATACATTCCATTTTGTTCATATGTTATTTTTGTGATCAGACATCATATCCGATGTCGGCCTGAGTTGTGGGAGTGTGTGCTTAGTGTACACACTGGTGTGTGAAGTGAGTCCTTGTGTTTCCTGGGTGTACCTTCACACATTTGTGCCGGGTGAGTGATGGGGATTCCCTGTTTACATTCCCCAGCTCAACACACGAGCGGTTCCAGCGAGGGCTGAGCGCCTTGCAAGGCTCCACATTTAAAATCCTTAACGACGTGATCACTTTTCAGTTTAACCGCTCCTGCAGTGCTTGCCCTTTTTCATTTATTTTTTGGCTCCACACAGCATGCTGCTCGTCATATTTTACATTTTGGAATTTGCAGCAGGCTGCTGATGTATTTGTTGTGATGAATAAGTCTGAGTCGAAGCTGACCTTTAAATATTAGCTTCTGAGCGTGGCGAGAGCCAAACGGAATCCTGGTTAGGTATTCATGAAAAATGAAGTGCATCACAAGACTCCTGGAAGCCCAAATCCCGGATGACACGGAATGGCTGGAGGATGACGGGACTATTTTTAGCAGCCAGCAGAGCTCCAGCTTATCCAAGTTAAACAGGAAGACTGCTTCAGGTGGAGCAAATGATTTAGTAACGAAAGACGCAAAAGCTGGCTCTGTCTTCACACACAGAAGTTTCCATGTTGCATCTTCAAATGAAGATGCATTTTATGGAGTTTTCTGCTGAGAGGTGCTTTTTTGTTTTGTGCAAATAAAGAAAAGCTAAAAATACAAACCGAAGAAGCGAGAAGTTGGGTTGAAAGTCCTTCCTACTCCTCCCACGTACAATAATAGAAGAACTTTGTGGTTTAACAAAAGAAAAATATAATCTGAGGTGCATTTTGAGCCAGTTCTGGTGTGTCTAAACATGCATATGGTACAAAACTAAGTGCATGAAAGAAATGTTTCAGAATGTGTGTTTTATCAATTTAGAATTTTAAATCAAGGATTGAATAGAAATGAGTCAACTTAATTTGTGAAAAAGAAATTTGGAAGCTGTTAAAGTAACACAGAGAAGTTTGCTGCTCCTCCGCCCTACTGGCTGAAAGTGGAATTACAGTTGTCGTGAACAAGCCTGCTGTAGCTAGTGCTAGCAATGAGCTAACGCTAACAAGTGCCAACTAACACTAAAATAAACCACAAAGTAAAAAGATCCACAATGTTTGACAAATAACATTATTACTTGCAAGTCCAGTAGCAACAAAGCCAGGTCACCATCAGTCTGTGATTTTGTGGCCTCCTTTAGCTCCATCAAACTAGTGTAGGCCACGCTGATGTTCACTACGGTTTTAGCTCTTTTCTTGTCCTACAAAGACATTACTCACTTACTTTTACTTTCAGGCTTCGCCATAATGCCAACAATACGAGCAAAACTTCTTCTTGTGGTTTCTATTGACGGATCAGCGAATTAAAAATGCTAACCACTAGCAATACAGCTAACAGCCATAAGGCAGGTAAAGAGCACCCCCCTTGGACACCTGCTCCACAAATTTATCAAGTAAGGTTTTTGGTCAGCAGAGGGCTGGTGTCAAAGTTTCTAACCCAACAATCGCTTGCTTCCAAGCTAATTCACTGTCAAAGAAGTGTTTCTAGGGAGGAGCCGAACATTTTATGTTGTCGAAGAAAATGCCATTGTACCCAAGGAGGCCAAACCCATGATTCAATGTTGCGTATTCTCTGGAGATGTAACATAAAAGTCTGTAACAGTGAGTCCAGAAATGTAGGCAGATATGAGCGCAAGCTCGAGGTGGTTTTCAGCGTTCCAACAATGTTCCTGCACATCTGCAAGTTTGGAGGCTGAGGATAAGGCACAGCTTGTAGTAAAATGTTTGGCCTAGCCCATCACAAAGCAAAGCCCAACTTCATAACCAAAACCTAACAGGTCTGCATGAATCTAAATGGATTAACAGTAATTGTAGGGTTAATTGTCTCTAGACTGAGCAAAAGAGAGAGAAGCTTTATCGAGAGCCTCAGTTTGTTTATTGACCACAAAATAAATCCCACTTTCATGGAAACAAGCAGTAAAACTCAGTGGAAACTCTGTGTTGTGTGGTTGCTTTTATTACTGGAAGCATTGAAAGTTTTCGAAGAAGGAAGAAATCAGATTAGGAGAGCAGAGTTTCCGAGTGATCTCCTGGTTTTAGGTGATCGTATATGTTTACCAGGAGCAACGACACAACAGAGCGTTTTAATCTGCCGCGGGAAGGAATCTACCAAAACAAATCCCACGGATCCACTTTAATAACAGTCCTGATGTTATTTAATGAACCTAATGTGTTTTTCTTGTTTGTTTTTGTTACTGCAGGGGTAGACAACCTGTATGAGAGATCACTGTACATTCGTAAAATCCTCCTGACCATTCCCAGATCAGTCCTTGTTGTGATGCGCTACCTCTTCGCCTTCCTCAACCAGTGAGTTTATGGACACTTACCAGTACATTCACCATGCGTTTCACTATTTTAACCAGTACTTGGTGGAAAATAAACAAACCCAATCAAGGAACCTCTGTTTTTTTTTTGTTATGCCTTATCTTTCCAGTCTGTCCCAGTACAGTGATGAGAACATGATGGACCCATACAACTTGGCCATATGTTTCGGACCCACGCTCATGCCCACACCTGACAGCCAAGACCAAGTCTCCTGCCAGGCCCATGTAAACGATATCATCAAGACCATCATCATCCACCACGAGACCATCTTTCCCGACGCCAAAGAGCTGGAGGGGCCCATCTATGAGAAGTGCATGGCTGGGGGAGACTACTGGTGAGAAACACATCAACTCATCAAGCGTTCTTGCCCACAAGCTGGAGTCGGATGTGAGGTTTGTTCCACAGGAGGAGTTTGGTTTCTTCCTGAGTGAAACCCTAGCTTCCAGGATGTCCTGCTTCAGCTGTCTGTGGGTCAGCTTATTTCATTTATTATTAAAGGCAAGGGTGCAAAACATTCCAGTGAAGTCACCCCGTGCAGCTGCACAGATTTCCCGAACGGGCCGTAGGTTTAAAACGTCTGACAGGTGGCGGTGGTGGTTTTCTCATTCCATCTTTGTTAATGTGAATGGAACAGCGGCACACAGCCAGCACGCCTCCACTGGGGTGTCATCAAACACATAGGTATGCCCCGTACTGTAGCCGAGCAAGCGACGCTGGGGTTGAAATGAGTAAGTGTACACGCCGTTGAGGCTGTGGGTGAGAGACTTGAGGAGGTAGAGCATGTGTGGCTTTACGTGGACTCTTTTTCAGGTGGAATAGCCTGAGACGAAGGAGGGGTGTCTGGTGGTGAGGAAGTGATGATTAATAAAAATGCAGCACATTCCGGAGTCAGACAGGTCAAACAAGAGGCTCCTTCCCAGTTCCACATCTGTAAGCAGGGCTTATCTCTTGTTTCTTCCTGTCTGTCTCGGTTGAGGCTGGCAGGGAATCGTCCCTGACTAGGACTAATCGCCCGTCTCTGAGCAGCCGTGCCCCTCGGCTGTGCAGACGAAGCCCCTGGGGGATTTGTTGTCTTGGCACCTTCATTTCTTTTTCTCGCTGGTAGAGGAGGTGGCTGCTGACATGTTAGGATGGGAGGAGATGGAGCTCGGTTCCTGGAGGGGGAAATCTGTGGAGATGGGTGTGTGGCGCTGCTGCCAGCCCTCTCGGCACGATGCCAGAAAAAAAAAGAGTTTAGCAAAAGAAGACTAACAGATTCAGAAACTCCCAATAAAAGTGACAATGACGTCTTCTGCCTTTTATGTGTTCATCATCTTCAGTGACTTTGAAGAACTTTGAGATTTTTATTTATTTCATCGTTTTGGAGCAGGGGTAAGGAACCCTGGTCCATCGAGGGACGCTATCCAGCATATTTTAGTTTCAACCCTGCTTCAACACACCTGATGTCAATCAACAGGTGATTAACAGGCTCCTGCAGAGCTTGATGAGCTGCAGAACAGGCGAATCAACCGCTGAATCAGAAGTGTTGGAGCAAGCACATGCAGGATACCGGCCCCTCGAGGACCAGGGTTCCCCACGCCCGTTTTTAGAGGACGGGATTAAATTGCAAAACGGGTGAAAACAAATCTAAACAAAAAGGAATCGATGGTTTTGGAGCCTCATGATGAACTGTTTGCATGTTGTTCCTCACAGTGAGAGCCCCTACAGCGAACACGGAGCCCTGGAGGAGGTGGACAATGAGGGAGGGGCAGAGACACACACCAGTGAGGACGGTGAGTGTCCACACTGGCACATATGGTTCGTTTCAGCTTCCCTCCTCGTGGTGTTGTGACGGTTCAACTCGGCTTCCAGGAGCTCTGGGTGTCTAATCCTGCCTTTCAGCCAATTAAGGGCTTTAACCTTGAACGACCAGCGAACACGGCTCAGAGTGATGGAGAGCCATTCATATTCTAACGGTTCTGCTTCTCTCTTGGGGCTTCAGAACATCAACACATCCTTGATTTATAACATCCATGGTGATCTGCAACCCCCTGACCCCTTGGGAAGCCTTGTGACTTATACCACATTCCTGTAATTTATTTTTCCCACTTTCCCAGATTATTTCTCTAGTTTTTATGGGAGTAGTGAGGATTATAGTGATTGTAACGTGTTGGGTGATATTATCATGGGAGTTCTTCCTTCAAGTTGTGTCAGCTTGTAGAATTAGTCAAGCAGATTTGATTCAGGTTTGTTTCTCAGAAAAAGGTGAGAAATGTCATAGCTGAGCTAAGCGTGACATTTAATCCGTCATCTGTAGCCCCTGGTGCTAACACTTCCTGTTTTCACATCATCACAAAATCAAAACGTATCCGCCCGTGCTTCTAGAGCAGCAAATCCTTTAACTTTTCATAAATGGAGGATCTTTATGTCTTAAAAGTGTGGGTGACTGAAAAAACTTTTTTTTCTGAATATAACTGATCACTCTGAGTTTTTGCAGGCCAAACATGTAAATAGTCTTCTACACCAATCTCCTGAATTAGCGTCTGGTAGAAAATAGACGATGAAAATCTAGGATTTGAAAGTCCTCACAGATCTACGTCACACTGTGAATTAGCGTTCATGGACTCGCTCATCTCAACTCAAAACGGGTAAGGCTGTTGTTGGCTTAGTGTCCAGGAAACAGTAGAGAACGTCTGGTAGAAGCTAACAGTTAGCATTAGCAACTTCACCACACAGCATAATGTCCTCCAGGCTTGTATTTGTGGAGATATCTGAGGCGAGATGTCCAAATATCAGGAAACAAGACTCTAAAACCTGCCGTTTGAAGGTCAGCTGTGATGCGGGGTCGTGGACTCAGTTCTCACTGCGCCTTCTCTCCGCCTCGCGTCCCCCCCCCCCCCCCCTCCTCCCCTCCCCCATATGGGGCAGCAGTAGCTCAGGTGGTAGGAGGGTAATGGGTTTGATTCCAGCTCCCGCCAGGGGTAATCTGCTGTTGTGTCCTTGGGCAAGACACTTCACCCAACTCGCCTGTGTTGGTGCTTACCATCACTAATGGGCCATTCCCATCTGTACCGGGTCGGCCCGGGCCGGGTAGCGTAGGTTGTTTATGTTTATGTTTATGTTTATTCATTTCGCAGACGCTTTCATCCAAAGCGACGTACAAGTTTTTTTTTTGTTTTGTTTTTTTTATAACCTGTAGGGCATGTTGTGATGCAGGTTGTTTACATATCTGGGTGGCCTGGTATTTTTCCAGGCCAACCAAGGCTCATTCTCAGCCCTCTTCTCGAGGGGGTCTGCTTCAGGCCGACCAGGGCCAACGCACCCACTGCTGACAGCAAATTCACACCTTCCATTAGAGCAAGCCTCTGATTGGTGGGTAGAATCAGCCCACATGGGCTTAAGGCCAGGATGTGTGGAATCAACCGGGCCAGGCTGGGGCTGACTGGGGCTACCCGGCCCGGGCCGACCCGGTACAGATGGGAATGGCCCATTACAGTGTGTGAATGTGAGAGTGCATGAAAGTATCTTTGAGTGTCCTAAACAAGCGCTGTATAAGTTCGATGATGATGATGATTATTATTATTATTATTATTAGCTTTTAGGTCCGAGAAATGGTGCACCGGTATATTCGTTCCGCCTGAGAATGACTTACAAGGCATTCATTCTTACTAGAGACCACTGCAAATGTATTGATTAAACGAGTCAACCACTCCTTTAAAGAGCAAGTCAACCCCTACCAGAGTCTAACTCCACTCCCACTTCATGTTTGAAAAATGCAACAAATGCTGTTGCCTGGCAGACCGAGAGGGCGGAGCCGCTAACAAATACACACACACAGGCTCACGACAGCATTGTGACATCATAATGTACCAGTTTACATCATAGCATACCTCTTAGCCAATAGCGGTGGCAGATTTAAATTCAAATACAGTGCAGAGTTTTTACCTGACAACGGCACAACACTGCCAGTTTTAGGCAGAATATTTAAATTTTAACTACTGAAGTGCCAAATTATTGAATACACGTGTGTGCAGCACGATTAGACACTCGTTTATCTAGTTGATCAGCAAAAAAAAGTTGATTTGGGGGTGACTTGCTCTTTAAGTGCTCAAACGAGAAAATGTGCAGATTAATGTGGAAAAGATGAAAGCTCTTTTTTTAAATTATGCTATATTTTCCACAACCTCCATTTTTTTGCTCCAGAGTCTTCTCTGAGCATACTGTAGAGGAAGATGTTCCTGCTAACTGAGTTCCTCCCTGTGGAGTCTTGAACTGTGGTCAAGTTATTGTCATGAGCTATTTTTAAATCCCAGTGACCTCATTTGGATTTCACAAAAGCAGATCTCTTTTCTTGTAGAGTTGCAACAGCTTTCTGCAACAGACCTTCACTTTTTTATCGTGTCCTCTGGATTTAAGATGGAATCAAACCCCCTTAAGTTAAATAACATTTCAAAAGGGAAAGAACAAAATAAGTTTTAGACGTTTAAAAGGATCATAGGGTGAGTTTAAGCTAATTATTCAAGCCAGATGATCTGGAAAGGTCAATTTAATCACACGGAGTGCAACGTCATCTCATCTGTTACCTTAATCAGGTGAAAAGTGAGACAACTATTTTAACAAGCTAAAATAATCCGTCTTACATGGCGTCCCTGTGGTTTGCTGCAGTAAAAACAGGATTTTCGGTTTGTGAGTAATCCTTAGAATCCTTCAAGTCACGCATTTTTTTCTTCACTTGTATAATTTATACGTGCAGAAGTCTGCACACATGTTGGGCCTGTGAATGCATCTAATGCTTTAACCCTCACAGGCTCAAAGTAAGTTTGGCTAAAAGGACGAACAACATTAGTCCTTCAGGGTTTCTTCTGAGTTAAAAAATGCTCATGAAATACGTATGTGGAGTAACCAGGTAGGTAGGTTTTAACTGTTGCAAATCTGCAACGCCTGCCTCCAAAGGGTTAAAGGATTAGAGAGAAAAAACTGCATATTTAAATAAATAAAGGCAGGAAAAAGGCTGAATCTGTAAACCGAGCACAGGAAGGGAAGAGTTAGAGGAAGCCAGAGGAACAATCACATCAAATACGATTATACACAGATGTGACAGAGTTCAGCTCAATGCACCATAAATCAAACGAAGCAGAATTTATGTTTAAAGAAATAAACATAAGTTGGAACTTCCCTGCTTTGTTTATGGGAATCTACATTAAAGAGGTGATTCAAGAGTGGTTGCTGCTACGGCTCATTAACTTCTTTAACTCCTTATCTGTAAGTTTTAGGAGGCAGATCTCCTCCATCAAATGAATTAAAATGTGCACGACTGATGATACATGAGTTAGAGGTAGACCGATTTGTTTTTCCAGTACCGATGCGGATATGTGGTCAGTCGATGGCCGATGCGTACTGTTGATTTTTATCAGCCGATTTCCATGGCACATGTTGACATTTTCCACCTTATTTTCATGCTTAAATGTCACTTTTAACACCGGTTGATGCACAAAATTTCAAAATCAATTTTTGATCTCTGAATTTAACTAACTGCTAAACGTTAACTTCGTGCAATTCCCAGTGTTGAAGTCAGACACCTAATAAAAGTTAATTTAGAGTATTTGTTATGCAGATGTTATTAGAGAACGTAAAAATGCATTTAAAATAAATTCTGCACCGGGCTGCCCGTGGATGTGCCTGAGTTTAAATCTGCTTTACTGAGGACAAAAATTAGTCGATACCGATGCATGAAAAGCGGTAAATATCGGCCCGATATATCGGTCTACTCCTAATATGAGTTCTTAAGTTCTCGTAGGTTATTTGTTCTTTTTTCAATTAACTCAGTGCTGTACTGTTTTGGTATGGATAATGTTATGTAGCTTTTAAAGACAAATCTACAGACTTTTTCCCTATTTATACATTAAATTCCTTTTAATATGAAATCAAAAAACCATTTGGGGATGTTTGCTAGGGGTGTTCACAATTCCCAGGAGATTATAGCTGCCTGACGTTCTCTTAAAGGTTTGCTTTTTGCTTGTTTTGTAAAAATAGGCACATATTAGCTTTATAATTAGCTATAGTAATTGTTTTCTTGTAGTCTTTACATTAATGACTTCCTACTAACCCCAAATAGCTAGCTGAAATAAAAAATGTCCACCAAACAAAAGCTCAGGTTTCAGTGAGAGAAATCAGCAGTCCACCACCAGCTGGTCCCTTTTGTTGCTTCCTGTAGCTTGCAGCAGATTAGATCAACAATAAAGCAAACACTGAAACTTCCAGCTATAAAGTTAACGATGAGCACTAACTGGTTCTGTGTGGAAAACATTTGCCGTGCATAATTCAGCACAATGCTGCCGCGGGCCATGGCTTCATGCAGAAAGAAGTGTCTGGTTTTGACTTCTCGTGTATCACCGATGTCCTATCTGCTGGTTAGATCACCACAAGGTCACAAAACTAACTCGTTCATTGATTTTCTTTTGCTTTTGTGGAAATACACCAACATGCTTTGGTTGTTTAGAGCCTGAAAAGTCACTCTGTACATATCAGATTACATGTGTGTGTCACAGTGCACAAGAGGTTTGTCTAAATTTACACACAAAAAAAACACATTTAACTTCTCGACACACTTCCTTTTTTGCAGCATCGAGCTATGAGGATTAGTTTATTTAGAAAAATAAATAGAAAACACAGCTCTCTAGTTGTGTGATTCTTTGCACTTCTCACACAAAGCTTCTGCTGCTGCTTTGTGTGAACATTGCAGCAAAGCAACACACGCTGGCAGTGCTCCACTGGCTTGTGTCAGACATCTGACAGTTTTTATTTTTCTTCCTCCTCCAGCCTTCCATCGTTCAGCATCTCTTTAACGCCAGCCTCAGCTCGAAAGTGAATATGCATGTGTGTGCAACCTCTCGTGCTGAATTAATGTGACGACATGACTAATAGATTCAAGCTACAGATTTAGCTCGCTTTGGATAAAATGTGCACCGACTGAGTGGGATGGATGGATATTTGTGTGATTATGTTGAAGCGGATGAGGGAAGAGAGGGCAAGTCCCCTTCATGGATCACACTGCCTGCTGTCAGCTTTATTAACGGCCCGGTTTGCCGTGGTGCAGTTTAATTAAGTCAGACAATAAATTCTTGACTTTCACAATGTACAGGAGTCGCGTCACATACGCCCCATCAATATTGACAATCTACTGATTCAAGGACAGGGGAGAGTTAGGATAACAGTCAAGGTTGAAAGCAAAACAGTAAATGAAAGCAGAATTATGCAATCTATTTTGGGACTAAATGCAACGTGTGCATTTATATTATATATAAAATGTATTTATATATATTTTATATATAGATATATATATGTATATATATATATATATATATATTTATATATATTTATATATATATATATATATATATATATATATATTTATATATATTTACATAAATAAATATTTATATATATAAATATATATTTATATATATATATATATTTATATATATATATATATTTATATATATATATAAATATATATATATATAAATATATATTTATGTATATATATATATATATTTATATTTATATATATAAATATATATTTATGTATATATATATGTATTTATATATATATATATATATATATTTTTTTTTTTATTTATATATATATATATATCTCGAATCTGTTAGGTTGAGGCTTTTTCTATCCAGGGACCCCCTGTCTGACTTGAGGTGAGAGAGTGTGAGGAGGAGAGCAGAGGTAGGAGTCAGGGAGAAATAAAGCTTCTATTTTTAGACGTGTGTTGCTGTAGAGTGTGGAAAGGGGCTTGAAGGAGTGTACCTATGAATATAAAAAAGACGTGACAGAAGATACTAAGATTTGGAGCTTAGTGGAAGGCTGTGAAAGTTATTAAAATTGTTTTTCAATTACCTTTCCAGGTATTTTATGTTTTTCTTTGCCACTGGTACGGGATTCTTCTCTTACAGTTACTGAGCATTCATCAACCCAGTTTAATGATCCATACTGCGACTGACATGCCCCTGAGTCATATAGATCTCCTCCTGTCAAAACCTTCTATATATATCCTGCTGAATCCCTTCAGGGTTGGTTGTGGCCCTGGTTTGCTAGTCACTATTGATTGCAGCTAAAATAAAAACTTGACTTTAAACACTTGAACATCATGTGAGCTGAGTATGTCCAAACAAACACGCCGTTCCCAAGTCTAGGAGGTTACAGCAAGACTGCAGCGCCCATATCAATCATTGCAAGTGTCTGCACTGCGATTTTAACACATCTACTCAATGTTCAGCATGTTTCACATACCTGACCTGTTTAATTCTCTCTGTTGCCAGAGGGTGAGCCGATTGAAGCCATTGCCAAGTTTGACTATGTTGGGCGCTCCTCTAGAGAGTTATCCTTCAAGAAGGGAGCGTCCCTGCTGCTCTATCAGAGAGCGTCTGACGACTGGTGGGAGGGAAGGCACAACGGCATTGATGGCCTGGTGCCACACCAGTACATCGTAGTCCAGGACATGTGAGTGTTTGTTTTTCTGATATGTAATTGTGCATTGGTGTGTAAAGTCTAAAGGATTGTTCAGAATGGAAAGGCTGTTTATTCCCTTACAAATTTCTTTAGGGTTTTGTGTCACTTAAAGGTTTCTGATCAAAGATACAGACACGGGCTTTACCCTTTCTTTCCATTGGACGTGGAAGCGTCGTGAAACTTACTTTGCTGCGATTGACCGCCATTATGTTGGACGTGTTTCTTTCCACCGGCAGCAAACGGTAACGCGCTGGATGTTACGTCTCAATTGTATTTTCTACACGCTAAATCAAACAAGAAAGCAGTGTAAAACATCCAAAAACTCTCAAAATAAAAGTCACGTGCAAATAAAGGTACATTATTTCCTGTAAAATCCCCGTAGTCGATTTAAACAGAACAGAAAATAAGCACCAGACGTTTTTGGATGCACGCAGCTGTCTTCCTCCTTGCCTGTAACTTCTGAAATCACGAGTGCTGTTGTAATTCTCTTGAGATGTTGGGACGTCGCAGGATCAGCTCTGTGGAACGCTTTTGATACCGTTTTGCGTCACAATCGCTGTCAGTTGGAAGGGGGCTCGCTGGTAAAACGCCTCTGTCTCGTTACACATTGTTTTCATGACCAGTGGAAGGTATGGGTTAGTGAATACTCCAAGAACTCTTGCACTCTTGAGCCCTTTTCAGATAGACATTCTGGAATATGTGTGGACAATTCAATCCGGTCTGTAACCGGAACTGTGTTTTCAGACACACCACTTTTGTACGGGGGGATCGGACTTATGTTAAGCATAATTCTGCGCACACAAAGATGCATAAGAGACCTGGATGATGAAGCTCAATGGTTAAAGGAATCACTGAAGCGGTGTGAAGCGCTCCGTCACGCGTCTAGACGGTACCGTAGGAGGCGAGCTGCCATGGTTCGCCGCATGCTACAGCAGCGGGCTATCTAGGTGCGCACAGCGTCCCCCGTTCCCCTCCTCCTCCCCCTCCCCCTCCTCCCTGTCCGGAACTCGACCTCACCAGTCTGAAGCAGCCACCTTGTCCGTAACAAGTCCGGACCTGTTACTAGGGGCGTCGTCCGGTTAAATTACGGAAAACGTTATCCGGATGTTTGTATTCAGACACAAAGGTCTTACGGACAGAACCCGGAACATTTCCGTTTTACACGGCCTGCCTGAAGGGGGCTTTGGAGGCCACAACTGCAATCAACTGTTTGTGATAGCTGCAAAAGAGTGTCTCACGTGTCTGTAGCTCAAGCTCATTTACAGGAATGTTTGAATTTAGCCACTTTGGAGGATTTGTCAGCATAAACCTCTTTTAAGATCAAAGGTTAGACATCAGCCCTCAGGATTTTCTAGTAGAGCAGAATTCATGGTTTCCATTATTACAGCAAATGATCTAGGCCCTGAAGCAACAAGGCAGCACCAGACCATCGCTCTACCACTGCTGTGTTTGACTATTGGCATGGAGTTTTTCCTGAAACGCCAACCTTTTAGCCTACTTCAAATCATCTTTGGAAAGTATGATTATGTATTTACTCGGTGAGTCTTTGATATTGAAACTTTAGGTGCAACAAAAAACAGAAGAAATCTAAAAAGGGTCCGTAGATGTGTCATATAAAATACATTCTTGGATTGGATGTGTTTTCTCCTTTGTATGCAAGCAGAAGAGCCTCGTCAAGCACGGAGCTCATTCGCCTGGCGAATACCAACCAGTCGGGTCACCTCTAATCATCGAATCTCTATAAGTGGGAAGAATTAAAATAAGGATTTGACTTTTGGGAAATGTTCCACTCTGCTTTCATGTCAAGATTTAAGGGAATATTTTGCTGATGGTTCTTTTTTTTAATGCCCTTACAGTAAATGAGACTTTTCTGTTTTATTTGTCTTTTGCACGACTTAAAGTAAATCCTAATCCATAAGTAACATTAGATTTTTAAACATGCATTTAAAATATGGGAAGAATGATTTCTGTATGTTTAAGCATTGGCCCAGCAGTTCCAAACATTGAACTTCTGAATAACTGAGCTATCCCTTTGGGTTAAACATCACACCCGTCTCTGTTGATTTTGCTCGACGAGAGTCTGCGAGCCGTCCCTCGACCGAGGATTCGTGCACAGAGGACCCTCGGCCTCGTTTTCCTGCCCACTGCTCTCATCCCTGCTCATCTGTGGAGTATTCTCCATCCCTGTGGTCCTCCACCGGCCCCGCTGTCACCGTCTCAATGCTCTTAGCACTAACGAGGACACACTTTGCCTTAGCAACTGTTGGTACCTAATGGACTGAATTCACCATCTCATTAGGAGTGGTGCAAAATCACTCCAGTCACTTAGAACCTGGCTGACATAACAGCCATTTCAAATGTCTTCGTGCCATTTCCTCTCTACGCTGCTGCTGTCCCGTCAGCGTGAATCTTATCAATAATTCACCAGAACATCGCTGATGGTCTGTCCTAGTTAACGAATCTGTAAACCAGTTTACAGCTACATTGTCCCCTGATTAATATCCTCCCTTCTTGTTTAACAGCTGAATGAGGAATGTGTGAGAAACCACAACGGGGATCACCACTCGCTCCACTAAAGAGCCCAGAATGAAACATGCGATGTTTAAGAGGCCACTTTAGCTCAAACCCTAACTTTAAGGGAGTTTACGTTCCTCTGTGGTTGCTTTTAAGGGTTGTTTACATTTGAAGTACTTGGTCTTGCTCTGTTGCTGTCTGCACCGCCATGCTGCAGCTAAATAGTGAATGCATTTTGTGCTCTCCTAATGTACATCATCAGAGGCAACAGTGCAGCTCAGTAGATCTGACTGCCACCTGACAGGCACCGACTGTACACGACATCCAGTCACATACCTCACTGATTCTCATCCAGCTGTCATGCCTGCATGTGTCGTTACCACAGTGCAGCTCCAGAATACTAAGAGACCAAGCATCATGACTCATCCGACTCCTGGGGCCTTGGAAGGCTGAGGGTGCATGCTGACTCGCAGGAAACGAGAAATCAAACACCGTTATCGAAAAACTGCAAATATGAAAGACTGGCTGATTTGCTGATTTCCTTTTTTTTTCTATTCAGTTAGGTGTTTCTGTCCCTTCCTCTTGCTTTTTCCCTCCCCCGTGTCTCAATGTCACTCTGTCTCTGCTTCTCAGCGATGACAACTTCTCAGACACCCTGAGTCAGAAGACAGACAGTGAAGCCAGCAGTGGTCATGCTGCAGAGGATAGATGCTCAGGAAAGGATGTCAGCTCACCAACTGATGCCAGGATTTCTGAAGCCTACATCACTAGGTACATTTCTACACTAAAATAGAGTGGAGGCAGAAAAAAACGAGGTAGATTTGGAATTAAGAATGTCTGTGGTTTAAGAAAATAACCTGAAAATATGTTACAAATGTGCTGGTTTTTTATCAACTTCGTGTAATATGGAATTAATTAAATTACATGTTATTTAATAAGCCATAAGGCGTAGGATTCCATAGGAAATATGAAATCCACCTTATGGATCTGTGAGGTTATTTTAAACCAGAAGATTGGAACTTTTTAATGCAGGGATTAGATAACAGCTTCGTATTCACTCGGAGACAACAGAAGAGAGAGAGAGTCGAGTTTAAAAGTTAAGAATTTTATTACTAACAAATTAAACGACTGACTTTAAACACTACATGAATGGTGTAACTAAGGTGGATGAGATGGTGAATGGGATGACGTGTGATGTTGCTCAGAACCAGCAAATCCGAAGTGATTATTTCTGATGGGAACTGAAGGTGATGTCTTCGCGTTAAGCTTTGGTTAGGAGATTCATAAACACATTCGACGCCATTTGTCGGTCTACATACCCTGATTGGAAGTCCCCGTCTAGATCAGGAGGTGTAAAGGTCCAGCTTGACCTTATGGAGCTGTAGCCGGTAGAAACAGCCACGGCAGCCGACCACCCGTCTTGAGATGCTTCCGGGTCACGACAATTTTATTGGCGCCTGGTGAGACCCGAGCCTGGGTATTGATGGTTCAGCTTTTATTCTGAAAGGAACTGTTGCAGCAGTTGGAACAGCAACGAATTGTTCAGCTTGTCGTCGGTTCTTTTGGTTGAAGAGGAGAGTTACGGATTGGCCACTCCGTCACTTTCTCTGGATCGCTTTGAACTGGCGTTAGAGATGACGTGGCATAGTTTTATACTTCAGATGTTTTGGTTTATGGTCGAATGAAAATTTGACAGAGTTACCAAACACCATCAAAACCACGCCTCCGTTAGATCTGTCAGATTCTGATTGGATCAGTGAAAGTAATGTGTCATGTCTTTTAACGCTACGTGAGATCAGTCCTGTTGAAACATTTAAAGTCATATTACTTATTATATTCTATAGGATTGTAATAAAGTAATTAATATTTTGATTTCACAGATCGGTCACATCTTATTTATTGACTAACACTTGGTTGGATTAGATTTATTAAAATAGAGTTCTTTGATTAATTAAAAGAAAATAGTTCATTCTTCATTCTTCTGTTGAGCTGAAAATAAGCAGGTTAGAAGCAAATGCATGAGAGCTTGAGACCATATCTCATGCAGATCAGTCCTGCATTAGAGGAGGGGGAAAAACAGTCATTTCATCCTGTTACAAATGTAGGGAATCAACTCTTTTGTTTTATTTTGGTAGCCACCAATTATGTAAGTTGTCCCACTGAAAAAGATGAGAAGTCTGTAATTTCCATACACTTCAGCTGTGAGGGACATGATTTTTTAAAAATGTATATGTAATGGTGTAAAACAGAAGTATTTGGTCAGTAACTAAAGCTCATCTCAATACTTTGTAATATAACCTTGCTGGTCTCATGTTAAAGACTGATTGTGTTCCCATTTTGATCAGAAACAACTCAGTTTCTTGTGTTTTCTTCAGTTTGAATCAGTCGTAGACTTTTGAGCCTTTTTGTCCTTTTCAGATTTTCTTTATGTTCTTTCTTCCACTATCAGACGTTCTAATGCAACTGTGAAAAGTATTCCTGTGACATGCATGCAGGGGCGTAGCTACCTACTTTATGAGGGGTATGCAACCACATAATTGAGCCCCCCCCCCTCCCCCCCAAAAACCTGCCATCCCATTACCCATAAGGTCTTTCTTTCACCAGCCCTCTCCTCTGCACCTCTCTTTTCCTCTTCCTCTTTATCATGTTGCCCTCTCTGTTCTTCTCCCTCTTCTTCATCATTCGGACCTCTCTCTTTCTGTCCGTCTTCTTCATCATGTTGCCCTCTCTGTTCTTCTCCCTCTTCTTCATCATTCGGACCTCTCTCTTTCTGTCCGTCTTCTTCATCATGTGAATCTCTCTGTTCTTCTCCCTCTTCTTCTTGTAGACCTCTCTGTTCTCTCTCTCCTTCATCATGTGGATCTCAATGTTTCTGTCCCTCTTCTTCATCATGTTGACCTCTCAGCTCCACATTCTCCTCTGTAGTCACTGACTTGCCTTGTCTGCCTGCACTTATTTTTCTTAAAGGACAAAAAGATGGTCAGTAAAATTCTAATCATACTAGAATTCCAGGTTTTTAATGGCCATTCTAGTATATTTATTCCTAGCTGTCATCACTGGTCTCAGGCATCATTTAACAGCTATAAATTACTACTCTTGAAAATGCACATCGTCATTAGAAAGAATATTTAAAAATTGACCACTTGGTATTAAGTGAGTGATCACTTCCACCTAGTATTAAACCAACCAGTGCCTTCCTCTCTCCATCCTGATTCTTTATCTCTCTTCTTTTCTTGTCTCTCTCCATCCTCACATCGGAATAATAAGAAATTTGAATTTAGAAATTAAAAAAAAAATACAAGACTCAAACTACATATAAAAACATTATATTTTAGTTTAAAATTGCAGGAATTTAAGAGCAAATCTGAAGTGCATCACCATATTCAATAATTTATCAGTATTATCACTCAACATCAAACTAAACCAAGGATTACTGTCAGAAAACTAAATAACCACCCCTGGTTCCTTTATTTTTCTTGTGATTATCTGTTACATATGTTTATTGATATTAGACAAACAGAAACCCCTCCTCACTTAGATCTAACGGAATCAACAACACCCCCCACCACCACCCCCGCTGCTCTCACGGAGATCCGACTGCTCCCAGAAGCCTGTGTGAGATTAAAACCCTGATCTTGTGACCGATACAGAAGACACCCGTAACCTGTCATTTTACTAGGGGCAGGCTAACAGCTTCAGCTAAAAGGAATAACTACGCCTTCTTGCGAGATTACTCACCTACTGTCTTTCAACCACTTAAGTTTTTTCATCCCTACGAAATCATTTTCCTTTTCCCTCTTCCGTTTTCTGTTTTGTGCCCCGGAGAGCTTTTTTTTTGGTCTTTCCATCTCTAGCTAACCTAGCTAGCTGATCAGATGACAGTAGATATCATTCAAATGAAAACACTCGCGCCCCAGTGTGTATTCGCGGGCACACGCGCTGGACTCGTCAAGAGTGTTCATGTTCTGTGTGTGTGTGTGAGTGTGGGGCGGGGGCGTGGAGCAGGGCTGCGGAGGGGCGCCCAATCGCTTGCTTCTGTTAATTATTATTTAATTTACACATGCACAAATAGCTATGAAACACAAAAAGTGCCCTTTTCCCCATCATTGCTTAGGTTCCCCCACCAGCGCGGCGCCCGTATGCGTCGCATACACTGCATACCCACTTTTTGCACCACTGCATGCAGTCAGGTGATTAAAAAAAGCATCAAATCTTAATTTTCCCTCGAGGTTTTGAGTTCCTCAGTCAGCATCACCTCACCGCTCAGCCTAATTACACATGTGAGCTTTAACTGTTTATCAACTGTTCAGTTAGTTTCTTTATTCACATGTCGGCTTTCAATCCGGAATCATCCTGGAGGTGCGGCACACTGAGCTGACACTCGCATCCGATCGCACCTCCGTCTTCCTGGCAGACTTTCCTGGTTGCCTGCCAGTATTTAGTCTGCTCCTCTCTTTAGTGGTGTATTTCTGTGGGTGGATTTTGTGACCCTGAAATGTCTGACTGGTCCCCGCTGTTGCCAAACACATTAACAACTGCTATTTTATTCCGAGCCATACCTACTCCCCCTTCTTCGGTGCTGAAATGTTGATGATTCATACCAGAGCCAGTATTTACACCGCTGCAGCCACTCTGCAGATAAAACTTACATCTGACTGAATCAATCTTTTAACATCGACTCTAATGAACATCCTCACCAGCCTCCCGTCTGCAGCACTCATCCTGTCACCTTTTCCCAGATGATCACCACCTCTCTTCCTTCGTCGCCGCCGACTCACGCTCACTTCGTGCTCTCGCGTCCGAGACAGTTCTCAAGTGCTGAATCATTTATTTGCTGGGCTTTATTTCTTTTACTGGTGTTCTTGATCAACAGTACATTCTCCAGATGAATGTCTCAGTGTGTCAACGATTCCACGACGTCCAGTGAGAAAGATGGACCCTTCTGTTGGGTTTTTGTTGTTTTGATGAAGAGGAAGTTGCAGGTTGTCTTATGATTTATGATGCATTATTGGCCACAGCTAAAATAAGCTGCAGGGTGAGCTGTCAGGGTGTTGTCAGCTTGCAGTCTAAGTGGCCCCGTTTTCTGTTTGCTGTTGAACACTTTGTCCCAGGAGGAGGATGCTGTTATGAAAATAAACTGCTCCACCTGGAGTTTGGAAGCAGTTCCTGCGCTTGTTTACTCAGAAAAACACAGCGCTTCATTTTAAAACCTGCATTTGTCGTTTTACAATCTCACATGAACAGAAATCAGTTTGGATCGACCTGAGACTTCCTGGTTTATCTCGTTTTCTGTGATGAAATGATGCAACTGGGAAACGATTGCCTTCCTGCGGTTTTGCAGAAATGACTCAAATCGTATTCTTCAAAACTCTCCTGGCTCTTGCCTTCCTCATTATGGCCTTTTTTTTTTGTGCTGCGAGGTAATGAAGCTGCTTGTAAATCCTCATCGTTATGGCTGAGACAGCACTCATTAGGCAGATGTAAACTCCCAAATTGAAGCCATTTATCTTCAGGAAGTGATTAGCGGATGAGCAATCCACTTCCCGTTCATCACAAAGGCTTAATTGAAATTATTGATCTGACATATATGTTCCCAGATATTGCTGATTTGATATTCTATGTTGCGGTCCTTTCAGAAAACGATGTACTGCTCAAAATATAAATGAAACCTAAATTTATTTTAGTGTTATTTAATGACAGTCGTTGGGTTCTGTTCCTGAACTTCGTGCATCAGTTTATGGAGCCTTTTAACTAAAGTATGAATGAGAACAGTGTTAATGGCAGCTTTAATTACAGCTTTTGATAAAGACTTTGGCGTTACGGGCCATAAAACTGTAGAAGCATTTAAAACCTCTCTGTGTGCCCTTTATGGTGCAATAGAAATGCTTTAAAATTGCATCTGTTGCAGCACGTGAAAAGCAGCACATGCTAGGCTTTTCTTCTCTGTGCTACAAAAATGCACTTGTCGGAAGAAGTGTGTAGGGGTGTATTCTGGTTCGGGTTCAGACAGAGGACAGACGGGCTGCTTCGGCAGCTGCAGCCGCTTCCAGGAAGTATGTTTTGGTGCTCTGATGAACCCCAGACTTCCATCATCTGGTTAACATCCAGATCCACTTTACCTCCTCTGCAAAACAACCTTAAAGGGGAACTGTACTAGAAAATCTGACTCATTGGATTTAGTTGGTCATTTATGCGGCTCAGTTGTCAATCTGGCAAAGGCTTCAATATTTTTTATTTTTGCTCATTTACATCTTCATATTGATCACATTCAGTTTTGCATTAATCAATGTTATTAAAAAAAAGAAAATGAAAAACTAATCACTTCCTAACTCTTTTTTTCCACAAGATAAATATTCTTAGCTGAGGGAATAAATGCATCAACAGTAGGAGAAGCTGTGCATCAAGCTCAGTCACAAATTCAGTTTGGTTTTTTTTTATAAGAGGACTCGTTCAGCAAACGTAAAGGACAGATATTAAGTTGACTGGTGTTTAATAGAACGAATACAGGACAGGAACAGTCTGGCAGGAACTAAAGCCGGGCGGACACTGTGCGACTTTTTCACTCGCAGCACTCAGCTTCAGCTCAAACTGTACGACTTCCTCGCAGGGCAGATCTCACGAGTCATGTGCTCACACTGTACGACCCAGTTCTCGAATGCGATCTGACTGCTCACACTGTACGTCTGGTAGCAACACGTCGGACCTAAAAATATGCTAAAACTAGCAGTTTTTACACAACACGTCAGACTTTTTCGTTTTGCCTGTTGTCCTTCGGGAGTGCTGCAGGAGAACACAGGGATTTATGGGATGAGGAAAACAAAATAAAGAAAGTAAATCTGTGCATCAACACCGCTCGCCCGCTATTTCCCTAACAACACATGTTGTTCGTTTTTATTTCTACACGATTTTTTAACACACAGTGACAAGGACTGTCAAGAAAGTGTGTTTGTCATGTTCATGTCAAATTAAACTGATCACAAAACACAGATTTACTCTCTTTATTTCATTTTCCTCATCCAACCCCATAAATCCCTGTGTGTCCTCCTGCAGCACTCCCGAAGGACAACAGGCAAAAAAAAACAGTCTGACGTGTTGTGTAAAAACTGCTGTTTTTAGCATATTTTTAGGTCCGACGTGTTGCTACCAGACGTACAGTGTGAGCAGTCAGGTCGCATCCGAGAACTGGGTCGTACAGTGTGAGCGCATGACTCGTGAGATCTGCCCTGCGAGGAAGTCGTACAGTTTGAGCTGAAGCTGAGTGCTACGAGTGAAAAAGTCACACAGTGTCCACCCGGCTTTAGATAATTGTTTGGTGTTGGAAATGAAGAGCAGAATATATGAATTCACTAAATACAGGATTGGGAGTCTTTTCCACTACAAACAGTTGATGTGTATTTTTGTGTAGATGTTTACTGCAACTTAAACTTTTATGTCTTTGTCACTGAAGATTCACCCGCAGCACTTTAAAAGCACTATGAGAGAAGCATCACATGGCCATTCTTATGAAACAGATGATCTCTTACGTCTGACTTTGAAAATGTAGAAATATTTCCTCAAAAGTCATGATTAAATTGATCTTGTTTCCTTTTCGTCTCGCTTCAACTCCAGCAGGCACCGGAAAAGATCCGACCCACCGTCTCGGCGGCCCCCCGCCCGTCCCAGCAACGTCCACTGCATGCTGCATTCCTCCCAGCAGGGACACAGCGGGACCCCAGAGATGGGCTCTCCTGTTCTGGGCCACTTCAGCCCGCGGGACATGCTGCGGAGTCATAACCACATGCCCATGGACAGCCCCGAGCGACGGCGCCGCACGGGCCACGGCAGCCTCACAAACATCAGCCGCCACGAATCCCTGAAGAAGATGGAGAGCCCGCCGATCCGCCGCTCCACCTCTTCAGGCCAGTACACCGGTTTCACCGATGGCCATCATCACCACAGTGGCAAGACCCTGGATCCGGAGACCATCGCACAGGTCAGCGTGGGACGAGCGGCGACCAGACCGCAGCTCCCTCCACCATCAAAGCCCTGCCCCGCACTGTAAAAACATAGTCAGTCCCTGTCTTCTGCTTCCTCTGGCTGCTACCATCTGCGTGCTAAGTCCATACAACGAGCTTCACAGGCAAACAGCAGGGGGCGTAGCTCAGAATTAGAACCTGTCTCAGTAGAGTTACTGTAATCTACTTAATAAAACTTTAACTCTTAAAACCTGATTGTTTGAGGTAAAGCTGTAGCCTGGCAAGCCACCATATGTAAACATATAGTCTGGCCATGACCCATTGAAACCACCCAGATGTGGGGCAGAATCTACAGTTGTCATTCAATCGGTCTCTGTATGCAACTAGAGCAACGAACAACGTGACGTATTGATTGCTACAGCAATCAGTCAACGGGGCAGTCTACCATACATAGTTGGAGAAGAAGCAAATCCATGTTTTTCTAAATAAATGAGGTGCCTCTCTCTGCTCCTGTCTCAAAGAAAAGCTCAGGACTACATATTCCAAATTTGATGCCAAAGCAGTTTGAAATTAGCACCGTTCCTGAGCAACAGTCTGTAGTTTTTCTCTGTTGCAGCTGAAGTGTTAAGCCCGCCCAGCAAGCGCTGTGATTGGCAAGATATTCAATTCAAGTTTATTTATAAAGCGCCAAATCACGACAAGAGTCGTCTCAAGGCACTTCACATAATAAACATTCCAATTCAGGTCAGTTCATTAAGCCAATCAGAAGTAATTTTTCCTATATAAGGAACCCAGCAAATTGCATCAAGTTACTGACTATATAAGATATAAAAGCATTCGAGCCAATGGTATACCTGCTGATGATGCAATGGCGCCTGGCTAAACCGACTTGCTACTGCTACAGATGGTCTATGATTCTAGATATATTTTAGAGTATGTCAAGTCTTATTTCTTTTGTTTTTTAATTAATACAAATGACGTGTGAAGCCATAAATGGCTTTTGTATGGAGGCTCAGTGTGCAGTTCCTCTCTGCCTACTTGGAGCATGCTCTGATGAGAATTCATCATCTCTGCATCTTCCTCTTATTCAGTCATTAGCATGCAGGTAATATTTCTTCTAACTCTGCATGTATATGCATGTTTTATCTATTTAACACTTTCTTATGATCCCTGTTATATATATACTTTTAATTCGTCTCTGCTTTATTTTTTCACCGACTTTATCTTAGTCATTTCTTTCTGATTGTTATCTTCTATCTCCTTCTAGTTTTCCACTTTTCCCAGCTTTTGTGCCCAATCCACCACCTCTCTAACACTGTTTTTTATGTTCTGCAGGACATAGAGGAAACTATGAACACTGCTTTGAACGAGCTGCGCGAGTTGGAGCGTCAGAGCTCAGCCAAGCACGCCCCTGACGTGGTGCTGGACACCCTGGAGCAGCGGCAAACCTCTGGGAGCAGCGGAGGAGGTGCAATGCTGGAAACTTCTGGTGAGTCCCTGAGTCCCATCCACGGTGTCATGCTGAGGTCAGCCTCCAACACGGAGCCACCCATCCGCCGCAGCGCTAGCTCTTCCAGCGAGGCCATGAGCACCTTCAAGCCCATGGTGGCACCACGCATGGGGGTGCAGCTGAAGCCCCCCGCTTTGAGGCCCAAACCCATGGTCATGCCCAAGTCCAACCAGACCCCGCAGGCTCCCAATGGGTCTACTCAGGACCCTCTGGACAAATCCTGTACCATGTAACCTCTGAGACAAAGCTGAACTGGAAACCCGTTTCCATCGGGTTGGGAAATTCTACCTGTGTCTTCAGTAAAATACACGAGAAAAACAGAAGGGGACTCCGATCTGATCTGAGAGACCTTTGTAGGCTGTAGATGCAATGTAGACTTGATTTGTATCGATATTGTGTGAAGTTATGCTTTAAAATGCTTAGAATAATATCTAAAATGTTCTTTTAAAACCAACTGGAACGACAAATCACAATGGCTTCCTTGTTAGTTTAGCTGAAAGAAATGGAAGAGCTCAGACGTGCGTGCAGCTTCTTGGTTCACCTGCAAACCACAGAGAGCTTGAAGAGAACTGGGGAAACCCCAAGGCTAATACTGGGAGGGTGCTGGAAGGCGCTGAGAATCGCTTCAAAGGCTTTACCGACTCGGCTAGACGCAACTGAATTTCAAATTTCAACATTTTAATGTTGCGGTGACAACCTGAGCGGAAAGTGTTTGAGGATTGGACGTTTTGTGTGCCAGAAGAGTCCCAAACTGCATATTAATGGTAGTCTATTAGAAGATCAATGGTACTGACGCATTTTGTTTTCTTTATCCTAACGTGTGAGTCGCAGCTTTTGTTGGTAAGGCTTTCAAATCAGGATTTATAAACATCAACTCTTTACTGATTACACCCAGACTAACTGTAGCGTGTTCTGTGATGTCTGGAAAGAGATATGATTGGGTAAAACCACTAATTCATTCTGAACTCCACATTTCAATGCATTCTGCTGAATCAGTACCCGATAATGTATGTATGTATGTATGTGTGTGTGCCTTTGTTTGAACATTAGGGGGGAAACAAGTGTGAAGAACTACAACAAACATGATATTTTACCATGTGGACATGCCATAGCCGTCTGTATGCCTTGCCTGTATCTACCCAAAGATATGAGTGTATAAGTTAAAGCATGGATGTTGACACTTCACATTCACTGATGTGTATAGACTTAATTAAGGTAGCATCCTTTTGGCGTGCTGCCAGTAGCCATGGACCATATGACTGTTCTTCATCGTGTTCACTGTGCTTCTGAGAGGGTTTCTGACAACAGCGGTTTGCTTTTTAGTCTTTGCAGTCTGTTTTCTGTCCAGGTGAGCATGCCACTTTGTGATTTCAGACCCTCGTTAGGGCTGTCTGTGTGGATCTTACTGCTTTCTGTGGATGCAAACAACCCTTAGGATACTGAAGAAGATCAAAGACCCAACTGGGAGGATGTGGCTCTAATGTAGTGTTGTGTCAGACTTCCAGTTATAATATTTCTCCTTTTTTAACCTCTATTATAAAAAATGCATGTCTTTGGAATATTTTTTCATATAAAAATTGTGGGTTTGCAATGAATAAGCAATGTTCTCACAGCAGGTTTACACCATCTTTGACTTGATGAAAAAGTGTGTATAAAGATCAAAATGTTTATTTCTGAATTTACTAACGTTCATTATTTTTGTAATCGGTTTTATTTTTGTCGTGTTGCAGGGAAGAAATCACTTAGAGCCTAAGATGTACAAGATTTAGCATGAAGCCGGTTGTATACAGGACCATGGGCTTTAGTCACTATGTACCATCACCAATAGGACTCTGTTATGCTGTGTAGGCTTTAAGCTACGTTGTGGTGTTTTGTACATCTGTTGTATGTACTTGTGAAAGTGCCTTTGAAAATGTTTTAGCAGAACTTCAGACATTCTGTCCTGTTGCGTCTTCGTGGTAAATGCAGTGTAGGACGTGTAAGACTGTGACAATTTCCAAACAGTTTGATGGCAGAATAAATTATAACAGCTTACACCTTGTGACATTGCACTTTTATGTATATAACTGTAAATACGGCATGTAACATCACATTTAGAGGTTATTCGGAGGAGTATTTTTTTTTAATAAAGGAAATAGTTTGTTGAATCGGAGTTGGATTGTATTTTTTATTTTACTTTTAATAAGTTCAGCTCATTTTATTTATAATACTTTTATATTTTTTGTATAATTGGGTACAATGTGGGTACATTCACTGAAATTATTAAATCTTTGAGGCACAATAAATGATCAAATATTACTGTTGGCACTATTAAGATGTCATTTATTTAAAATGAGTTATTTTCATCAGCCTGAATTTATACCTGGAAATTAAACGTTTTGTTTCAGTGAAGCTCCGCTCACGCCCGCACCGACAAAACGCGCCTACAACAGTGTCTTAGGCAAGTTTGCTGTTGTATTGGCCTTGGTAGTCCAGTGGTTAAAACTGCCTTGGTACTCTAACCACGACTACCAAGTCTGTTCAGTGGCGGTTTGACTTTTAGGGATAGGTCGGCGGCCTGCCTAGCCCTGACTGCTGGCACCCCTCTGTTAATGCCACAATGGACTATTCCTTTAAGACGCCGATGCACAAACAGGAAGTGATTGGTAGTTATTCCAGTCCAATCCAGTTGGTGGCAGTAATGCACCAAATTGTTGTTTGCCAAGTGCTGTAAGACCACAAAAAAGAAGACGATAAAACTGAAAAAGAAGAAGAGAGGGAGCATTTGTAACAAACTCGAAGCGGTAGTGAAAACATGAAGCATGAAATGGAGTTGTCCTGGTGGCTCCAATAAGAGAAAGATGCAGCTTGCTTTAAAAAAGCTTTTATCTTCACTTCCGAAAGTGACGTCGTTTTTCTATGTTAACATCAAAGGAAGCAGAAAGGAAGGACAATGGAAAATGTTTAAAGGGAGGAAAACACAGACCAAAACGGAAAATAGAAGAAAAAAACAGGCAAAAGCACAGGAGCACTGACAGCACTCAAAGGGAGAGAAAGACAGGGAAAAGGAGGAGGACTAATAAAAAGTGAAAATAACTCATGTCAGAAGAGGGGAGTTTCGCAAATCCAGTTAAAGATAACGAAAATTTAGTGTAAGGGGGCCCCATGTCTGTGTTTGCCTTGGGCCCCCAAATTGCTAAATCCGCCACTGAGTCTGTTAGTAGCCTAACACACATCATGTGTTGGCCATAACGTGTATCTTTGTGTACAGCATGCATGGTTTTTACAGCGGGGTTGCCCATGCAGAAGTAATTAACAGAATATCTACTCTGTGGTGGAGGTTTAAAGCAGTCATCTGTGACACGAAGGACACATTTTCAACTGCAGAATGAAATCAACCACTCTATGCCTGTAACTAGGAGAAAGTGCACGTTAGTGGCCTACTTCCAGGGGAGTGGAGGTTCAGATCAGAGACTAGCTTCAGGGAGAGGAGAAATCCCTGAGGAGGCATGAAGTTTCAATCATGGACATAATTTTGGGGGGGACAGGGGGGACATGCCCCACCCCCCCCCCCCCCACTTTTTCCAAAGTCAGGTTTTGACCCCTGCACTTGTTACCATCCAAAAACGATATTACGCTATATTAAATTGACACTGGTTGAGCTCTAGGACCAAGCAGAAAACAATTGTTTGTGTTGAAGCCTGTTTCCCATTAGAACATACTGTAAAGATACCACACACACTTCTAAAGTGAAAATTACGTCCATGGTTTTAATCGATGCATTCCATGATTTTCAAAGTAAAATTCTAAATTCACAGCGGAGACAGGACAATGCACGAATGCGGCCAAAAATGGGTTTGTTTTATTTTTTTCATGATGAAATATTATCACAAGGTGAAAAGCTTGAAAAGGTGAATTTTCCATGATATGGCCCCTTTAATACCACAACAGCAAAATATTTTAGAAACACAGTAATTGTTAGGGGAAAAAACTTAAACGAATAAAATAACATTGACTAAATATTACTCCTTGCCTAGAAATCTAGACTGATTGTAGCAACAGCAAAAAGATTTTGCTCTGCAGGTATTTACATGTAAATGATAGCTTGCCAGGCTACATTACTCCCACATGCAAAATCTAAGATCCCAATGATCAAATATGGTTAAATAAGCTTTGAAAGAGTAAGAAATAGTTAATTATTTTTAAATTAGCTGGTATTAGAATATAGGCTCCAAACGATCAGAAACCTGTTCTGATTCTTGACTTCTAAGTGTTTGTTTCTGCTATGTGGGGGAGTTTCACTGGACTTTGACAATCACCAGAGCTAGTTATTCCAAACTTGATTCTGCTTTCAGGAGAAGAAATGGCTCTCTGTTGGCTCCACTTCCTTCTGTGAGTCTTCAAGGCCATCTGGTAAAAAAAACAGATACTATGTGTTAGTGTTTTGAACGCTACAACTCGGCGTTTTCCCTTCCCATACCAGCCAGACTTTTGTCGGTGAAGTAGAAAAGATGATTCCATCAGATCATGCTCGAGAAACAATAATAATAATAATAATAATAATACATTTTATTTCAAGCGCCTTTCAAAGCTCTCAAGGTCACTGTACAAGACAAAATATAAGGAACAGCAAGCAATACAAACAAGAAATAAGTGCTAAGAGTAATTGCCAAGGGTAGAGTCACAGCAGTACAATGACTAAAAAGAGTAGGTGGAAGGAGGACAGTTACATTGAGTAAGCCAGGCGGAACATATGAGTTTTGAGTTGAGACTTGAAGGTTGAGAAAGAGATTATATTGCGGAGGTCAGGCGGTAGAGTGTTCCAAAGTTTTGGAGCGGAGTGGCTGAAAGCTCTGGCTCCCATAGTACAGAGACGAGTGCGAGGAACAGACAGGGAAGGTGAAGATGATGATCGGAGAGAGCGAGTGGGAGTGACAATGTGGAGGAGATTAGAAAGATAAGGGGGAGCGAGATTATGGATGGATTTAAAGGCATGAAGAAGTATCTTATAGTCAGTTCTGTATTTGACAGGGAGCCAGTGAAGTTGTTGCAGGACAGGGGTGATGTGATCAAAAGTGGAGGTCTTGGTGATTATCCGGGCAGCTGAATTTTGGACTAACTGTTCACCAACACAGTTCACCTGGAGAATGTTAAAATGTCAGTTTACCTCAGCAACCCCAACCTTTGTCTCCCACTTGTGGATGCTCTGCTGCAGTTTCTTGTGTTTGTCCTTGGCACACACATACTCCGTGATACCAGGAGCCTGGTGATGCGCGAGCTGCTCACGAAGGAGCCTGTTCTTGTCCTCAACCTTTAATCGCTCCTGAGGACGGGAGAAAAAATAAAAAATCTGTGCAAAGGAGAAGTTCTAAGAAAGGGACAGAACGTGTTTTATTTAAAACAGATGAATCAAAAAATGAAGAAATTTAAATAATGCCATTTTTTTAACTTGTTTTTTTAAAGTGCTGCTTTTGGGTACTTAATTCTTTTACCGATCGATAAAAAATTACTTTGGACTTTGTAAGCCATAATGAGTTTTAGCTTTTATGCTGTTTAAATACACAAGAATGAACCTTTTCAGCATGATGTATTTCCTGTTCAATTTTTGCAAGCATTAGTTTTCTTTTCGAGATGTCATTGCTCAACTCTGCAGACACCAGCATCACACTCTGCAGCTTCTCCTGCTCTCAAAAGAACACAACGATGCACAGATTTAACTATCTGGATTGTTATGATGCTACACATCTCACTAGATGATTCACGGGGAGCTACTGTACCTTGTGCACGCTGAGGACATGCTGTACCTTACTATAGTTGCATCGGTGTTCATCGAGGCTTCTGTCAAATCTGGGTTCATCATACTCGAGGAAATACACCTTCACACAAGGAACAAAAAAGTAATCTGGTTCAAGATTAAAACTCAATGAACAATCTGAAGGTTTTTAAGCGAATGACAAATGAAGCTACTGATTATTTTTGCAAATCCTCCCAGAATACATATGTGACAGCATTTAAGCCATAAATGATATATTTCTTGTTTTACCTGATATTCTGCCTTTTCCATTTCGTTTTTCTGAAGGAGTTTCTGCAGAAGAGTTTTTTCCTGGACCTTCAGTGCTTGATTTTTTAGATTAAACCTCTCCAACTGAACAATCTGTTGGAGAAATGTGGTTTAAAGTACATTTAAAAACTATACATTACTTTTGTGATCAAAAAAGAGGAATTGTTTCTATGCAAAACTTCCTTGTATGTGGTCAGTGAATCAGATTCCATTTTCACCTTTGACCTGTCTTCAGTGTACTGCAGCACCTTCTCTGGCTCCTTCATTTCCAGTAGGCCATCCTTCATAGATTTCATTAACCTGTGTTCAAACTCCTTCTTAGACTTTCGAATCTCAGCTAAACGCAATTCTGCTTCTTTCACAGCGGCCTGGACAGCAAAGCAGAACACTTAAACAAGGTTCTGCGTACACAGAAATGATGCGTATCCAAACGTATGTTGTAACCTTGTAGTTGTCCTGGATTTTCTCATATTTCTGTTTAAGCTCTTCGTGATCTTTCCGTGTATCTGTTATTTCTCTCTGTATTAAGAAGATTTTTTGCTCCAAGGTCAGCAGCTGGTCGCAGTCTGATGAGATGTAGCGGGGCTTTTGCCTCCTGTCAACATTCTGAACACACACACACACACACACACACACACACACACACACACACACACACACACACAAATAATAATAATGTTTGTATCAAAATCACAATGCAACACTGACACATACAAAGTGATGGTATTTGGAATGGTTCACATGGGTTGCAATCCGCTCACCACACAGTCCAGTTGGGAGTGTCCAGCTGCTTGTTGACCTTCTCCACCATCCCCCTGAAATTCCTTGGGATCCAGGCGTTTGATAAAGCATTCAAACACGTGATTCTCAGCCAGGAGGGCTACATTAGGATCCCTTGATGACAGCACATAAGTGTCAACAAAACTGACCAAACAATTAGTGCACTTCACTTTAAATATAATGTAAGGGGTTCTTGTCTTTTTGCTATCAAATATGGACCACATATGAAAGAAATCAACTTTAATGTTACGAAAAAATTGTGCTAAATATAGCCATGCTGCAAACAGAAGTGTTAGCATTAGCGAGTGGGTTTTAAAGCCTTAAAATAAAAGTTCTACACATCCGTTCTGTTCACCTTAAATCCTTCTGATGTTTGACAAGAAGCGTTTTATGTTCTTCTGTGACCTTCTTAGTGTTTTCTTTCATCTTGTCCTCCATTGTTGTCGATTCAGTAGTTGCCATGGAGTCGCGTTGCGTTCACGTACCTCCTGGGCAAAAAGCAGAACTATGTAAAAAATGTGTTTTGTGCATTTGTTTACATTTATGTTTGAGACTGTGGTCGTGTTATTTTTGTTCTATTTTTGTTTCTGAATGATTTTATAGTTTTTATTAATTTTTAGGAGTTAGATGTCCTTTTACAGTATCTTGTTTTTCTTTTTTAGTTAAGTTTCTGTTTCGTTTTTCAGCACAAGAGGCGTGTTTTCAGGTCAGCTGTTCCATCATTTAGAGTTCTCTGATAATCTCTTCCTAGCTCTGTCCAGAATGGCAGCGAACTTTTCCAAACTAATTATCGGGATTCTGTGTGACAACCAGGGATGTTTGGACTTCGGGCAGCTGAATGAGCTGGCGCACAGTCATTTCGGCTTTGAAGTGGAAGACTTGCAGTCTATTCTCTTCGATGACGGGTTAATAGCGATCCAAGAGGACAAACAGCAAGTCTCCGGCCTTAACGAACTCAGTCCAGAGGGTCTGGTGGTGGCTAAAACCGCACTGAGGATTTGCCAGAAAAAATACGTACAGTGCGCGAAGTGCGATGGGTTACATCTGTGCAAGTATTTTGTTTGTGGAGGCTGCACTTTTGGGTAAGTTGTCTCATAAAACAATTTAATGGGCTTAGAAACATTATTTAATTTTTTTGGAGCACATGCACACAAGCTGGACTTTGAGAAAAACTTGACATCCAATTACCTTTAATGTTGATATGTTGTTTTTGTAGAGTGTTTCTGGTTAATTGCTTGTTTTTTTAAAGGAAAGAATACTTTGAAATGACGCAGTTCAGGAAATACTTTACCTTTCCAGAAGGGGGCAGTACATAACCATTATCCCCTCCATCTCAGCCGCTGTACTTGGGGAAAAAATATAATAAAGTCATTTTAAAAAGTAATAAAAAATGTTTCCACCAACTCAAGTGTGGTTAGGCCTACATGATTTTCCATGACCAGACTGGATTTTGTCCTCAGTATAACAACAAATTTACAATAAACAGCTGTTTAATAGACAGTGAAATGACATTCGTCATCCAGCTATGAATTCATAAACAAACTCAATATGATAATACTTAAACTAAATTAATGCAGATTTAGCTTGCTGTTAATGACCATGAACAATGTTTTCTGGCGTGGCTCGATATTCTGCTTATCAGCCAAGATTTAGATCGATGTATTTTATTTTTTTAATTGAATAAAGTAAACATTTTAAGTCCTGGGCATATTGTTTTTAGACCAAAGTGTAAAAACCCACACAGCCTGGATTCCCCACACAATACAACGGTTTTGGAGAGATTTGGGCTTCAGGAATTGACTGAAAAACAACTGTTCCAACTCTTACTGCAGAATGATCCTTATCTTCTTCCAGAGGTAGGCTTTAGCGGCTGAAAATAATAACCCTTCCTCATGATGGAATAGTATTAAAATTACGTTCTCAACCGTTTCACTCAGGTGTGCTCACATTACAACAAGGGAAATGGTCCATTTGGCTCTTGCCAATTCACGACCTCCTGCACAAAGCTCCACATGTGCCAGCACTCCCTCCAGGGTGACTGTAGGTTTGGGTCTTCGTGTAAAAGAAACCATCAATTTACCGAGAATGAAATGAAGCTTTTCCGGGGCTATAGCGAGGAGAATATTCAAAATCTTTACAAGATCTACAGAAATAAACTCATCATCATGGGCAAACACGAGAGGCAAGCTGTGGTTCTCCCAGGTAAAAAGTTTGTTTTCTGTCATTTTAATCTGAGATGCAATGATTCTAGACTAAATGTGAGTTTCCTACAGCTCCTCCAAAGATGAACGTTCCACAGCCTCCCCCCTGCAACCCCGGATCTCCCACCAAGCCTGTGTGTCCAAAACCAGTAAGTGCTGCTGGGAGGAATGAAATCTTGCATAACATTTGCACGTCCCGCTGCTTCAAAGGTAATGATTCTGCTGATGGAGCAGACCCGTTGCATCTATAGTGCAGTGGATGCTCATGCATGTTTCACTTAGTTTATTCTTTGTGTGTTCTGTCACAGAGGCTTGTGGTCATGTTCACTGGGGTCTGCCCTACAAATGGGAGGTTTTAGACCAAGATTGTGTGACTTGGAAGGAGTTGCCCAATATGGAGGACATAGAGAAGGCATACAGTGATCCTTCACGTGACACAAGCGCCGTGTGTCTACCGCCATCTGCTTCAAGGTTAGGGCTTCTTGGAGCTTGGAATGTGTGGTACACAAACAAACAAAAATCTGATTTCCTACTCCTCTATGGTTTAAAAATGTTCTTATGAGGGTTCTGTCCTCCTTTCAGGTCTGTGTCTAACATTAAGAAGTGTGTTGACTTTAAAACCATGACATATGGAGGGTCTAAAGTCCGTCGCCTGCCCACAGCCTCCTCTGTCTTACACCCATCACACTTTACTCTCCCAACACAGTGGGTTTGGTACTGGCAGCATGAGAAAGGGTCATGGCTCGGGTATGGACAGGTAATCTGAGCTGATTATTTAACAAAACTGTGTATTTTAATGTTTGAATTATTTTAAAGGCATATTTTGGCCATTTTGTAGTGAGTCCCTCAGTGAAATGTAGACAATCACCGTCTCACCCTTAGCAGATTGCTTTCTCCCAGGCCTGATTTTTAAGCAATAGCTTTGAGCTAACAGCCAGTCCATCCATCCATCCTTTGTCTGCACTCGCTTTGTTCATGTAGGATGGGGGGCGGGGGGGGGGGGGGGGGGGGGGGCGGCTGGTGCCTATCTCCAGCGGTCAATGGGCAATCAGGCAGGGTACACCCTGGACAGAGAGCCAGTCCATCACAGGCTAACAGCTAGTATGAGACTATAGTGCAGGGGTGCCCAATCCTGGTCCTGGAGGGCCGGTGTCCAGCAGGTTTTGTGGTTTTTCTGCTCCAACACACTAAATTAAATGGTTGAATCACCTGTGCAGCATCTCATCAGGCTCTGCAGAAGCCTATTGATCACCTGCTGATTGAAATCAGGTGTGTTGAAGCAGAATTAAAACTAAAACATGCTGGATATCGGCCCTCGAGGACCAGGATCGGGCACCCCTGCTATTGCTGCCTTTTCAAATTTCTAAATGACAAAGCAGTCCATGCTAAATTATTTTAATAGCATAAATGCGGCACTTCTGGTGTATCCATCAACCCTGCAGGAATGTAAAACGTTATGTGCAAATACACGTGGGCTGCATGGTGACGCAGTGGTTAGCACTGTTGCCTCGCAGCACGAAGGTCGCAGGTTCAAAACTCTGCTGCGGCCTTTCTGCGTGGAGTTGCGTGTTCTCCCCATGCATGCGTGGGTTTCCTCCGGGTACTCCGGCTTCCCCCACAGATCACAACATGCCCTATAGGTTATAAATTGTAAGTCGCTTTGGATAACAAGCGTCTGCCAAATAAATAAACATAAACATGAATGAACTGCAGTGGAGCAGTAACATGTTAGATCTTGATTGTGCTCAAATTAGCCATTAGCTCATCAGTGTAGAATATAAGCCCTTTGCTCATACATGCAGCAAGGATCAAACTAAAACGTAAACTTGTCTTGCCCTTCTCATTTTATTATTATTATTATTTTTTTTTTTTTTTTACAAATAATCCATTTCATCTCATTCAAAGTCTAAATTTTCTTTTGTTGCTGCTTTTTCTGGCGTGTTTCTAGGGTGGGGGCGATGTCACAGTCACTTCTCACAGCCTGGAAAAGATGTACCTGGAAAACCGGGAGAAGGAGATTCCTTTCCAGGCTGGTGAACATAAATACGTTCTCCATTTGAATGATGCAGCAGGAACCCAGCAGATGTTCCAGCAGAATGTCGAACACAAAACCAAAAGAGAGGTGCGAAGGAGGCCTCGCTTTGTGTCTGCTGAGGATGTGAAGAAGGCCAAAAAGTAACTTAAGTTATGTATTTTATTATTTATTTAATGTATCATTATATTTCTGTATTAATTATACTTCTGCTGCATTCTTACACAGCTCCAGCAGCTCTTCCACAGATTCAGTTGTCCCATCTCACTGGGACAAGAAAGCCCTGCCTGATTTGGGGTTTGAGGTGCCTGATTATTGAGTACATTTACGTTAACCTGGTTGTTTAGTTCCATAATCATCTCTGAACACATAACTGCACCTTTTGATGACTATGCTATCTTTCAGTTCGTGCTCCTCTCCAGCTCCTCGCCAGATCATAACATGATCCAGACATTGTTCAAATGCACCATGCCTCAAAGCAAAATCAAAAGCATCCAGAGGATTCAGAACCCCTCTCTGTGGAAATCTTTCCATTGGTAAAACGTTGCCAATTCATGAACACAATACTTGGTTGCTTTGCTCGCGGAGATGCTCGGCATTTATACCTTTTATTCTTCACACTGGGAGTGAATGTGCAATGCTTCATTTTCAGCCAGAAAGAGCAGATGCAGAAGACGAATGGTGGGAAAACTGTGGATGAAAGATATTTGTTCCACGGGACAGATGAGCGCCTGGTGGATGAGATTTGCGATCAAAACTTTGACTGGAGGGTGTGTGGATCTCACGGGACAGTGTACGGCAAAGGCACGAAAAACAAGACTAAATGATTTCATCTTTCTTTCCAAAAACATTTTTTCGGTGTTTATAAATGTGCTTATAAATATTCTTTGCAGGGAGCTATTTTGCCAAAGATGCATCCTACTCTAACGAGTACTCCAGAGCCAAAGGTGGTCGGAATAAGGTCATGTTTGTCGCTCTGGTCCTGGTGGGGGAATACACGCTGGGTAGACACAGCTACGTTCGACCACCACCGAAGAAGGGCAGCAGAACTCTCTACGACAGCTGCGTCAACTCGGAGACCAACCCCAGCATATTTGTTATCTTTGAAAAACAGCAGATTTACCCAGAGTATTTAATCAAGTACCAGTAAATCAAATCCTCTGCAGTTTGATCTGGAAACGGTTTAGTGGAGGGAAGCGTTTAAGTCTGATTGCTGCCATCGTTGGTATTTGGGTATTCTATCCAAACTAGAACTTAGTCAAGTTCAAAGTCACAATTTTAAACAGAAATCTGCTCACAAAAGTTCAGCAGCAGATATGTGACAAGTTCTATTGGGCCTCTGTTTCCTTTCATGTTACTTTTCATCACAGAGAAGTTTGATTAAAATGTAAAAAGTTTGTGCAAATTAAGAGTTATAGAGGTGCAGCTGCTTCCCCATACTGACCACCTTTACACACGTCATTTAGGATCTAATAGTCTGACATTTAGCTCATAAAGAGTGAAACATCCCAAGGTGGCACAGCTTTAAGGGAACACAAAAACAATAAAAGGTATAAATACAAATCCAAATACTCATATTAAGAGCTAATGTTAAACTTGAATGAAAAAACATGATTTCAAGATCAGATTTTTATCAACAGTATGAAGCAATCATCCATCAGCTGGGGGCTCTATTGAGTTTATTATGTTAATGGACATTTTAGTTGGATGGAAAGTAAAAGTTCATACCTTAAAACCAGATTTATTTGCAGTTATGGGATTAAAAGGGCAGGTAAACGTAAAATGACCTAAAAAGATTGTCTCATAATGTGGAAAGCAGTGTTTTGCTCGTTTGAACTAAATATATTTTTGGACTTTTATTCTGAAAATGTTAATAAACATAACAAACTTACCATTTTGATATTTTGCTTTGAGGCTTTATTTTTTCTCTACTGCGTCTGTGCCTCGCCAGTATTAAGATATTATTTGTGTTGAAAGTTTCCACTACAGCAGACTCTTTGAGGGTAATTAGTAAGTTTTATTATTACAAGATGTTCAGAATTCAGCAGGAACACTAAAAAGAAATAAGAGATGCATGTTTAGACGCTTCTGCATCATATTACTGCATCAATTTTAAAATTTACATTTAAAATAAATTCAGAGTGGGAAAAGTGACGAATGAAAAGAAATGTAGTGAGCAGGGCCGTGCAGAGACCGCTGAAGGGGCGGGTGCTCAAAGTAAATTAAAGGGCACATATAGAGCAAATTTTTTAAACAGATTTACGATCCAACAAGTTTGAAAATTCAGATAATGAGATCCTTGGGTTCTAACAACAATATAAACTAGGAAAAATATGTTATTTAGTATCATTAATTGAAGGTAATGTTAGTTCATAAATAATTGTTTTAGTTTTTAAAGCTGACATATCTAGAGATGTTATAACCACATTTTTGTCCAAGTTGTTTGATTTTTGATTATCTTCCAATACTGAGTCCTGTTCCGGTACGAGGTAGTAATGCAATGCATTACAAAAAAAGAAGATAATGGGAGAACACTCAAGTTGTCCTGTCAGTATTCGCTGTTTTACTCATTTAGCCTTAAAAGCCACTCATTCAGTAAGTACATTGAACAGTATTCAAGATGCAAAATAATTTGTCATTGCACGGGCGTACAACAACACTGACTTTGCGCTCACTAAAGACAGCTCATGTGAGAGGTGGTAAAATGAGTAAAATAAAATAAGTAGTTTAAATGCAACCATGTGAAGTTATCCAGTGTGATCTGCAGCTATGTAAGCTGGGGCCTTTTCCTGTCTGTAGGAAATTCCTGATCCAATTCCATGATCTCACTCTGAACTTCACCCCGCTGACGTCGTTAGGTCCGTTTTAGGGGGGCTTCAGCCCCCCTGAAATCATCACAACATTTTGGTTTTTTATTTTTTTTTTTTTTCAGTTAACTTTTTTTATTTGTTCACATCTACATGCTCAACACAATCACGACACGTGTAGTTGGTACATGAGTTTTTAGTCTGAAACTGAAATAATAATTAATGAATATAGAACTACACCGTCGCACACAGGAAGTATCAAGAAAGAACTTCCTCCACTTCCCGCAGCTGTGTTGACAAGTCAGGGGCAGGGGTGATACAGCAAAACCTATATATCGTTGAGCAAACTCTGCTCAGCGCTCATGTAAGTCACTTAACATCTCATTAGGGTAAGACAGCAACAGCAGCACACCGTTAATATTTCAAGGTTATAGTTCAGACTTCAGAGAGAGGAAAATGCGACCGCACCGACATGCTAATGCTAACTCCGCTAGCATGTTTACATGCCGCAAACCATAATGAAAAGCTTTGATGTCAAGTAAAATGGTCGGAAAACTCCCCTGAAGTGACATGATTAACGAGCCAGCCAGTTCATTGAGTGACTTAGTACCACCAACTTGAGCGTACAGTAATGAGTCTGCACAAACAGAACCTGCTCTGCGCTTGTGTGCAGGAGCTGCAGCCCGCTCTGTGGGCTCAACTCTGTCTCTGCGCATGCAAATCTCTCCCTGCTCTCCTCAACAAGTAGCCTCTCCAACAGTCAATCACAGACAGCTCTGTTTTATCCAATCAAAGCATGTCCAGGAAACACTGCTTTACAGAAAAACACCCATTTAACAGCTTATTAAACTGCTTTCTGCTGCTGGTTAGCTACCAGTCACCATCCACTGCCTGCAAAATACTTTGTTGTAATTCATGTGTCATGATTAGGGTGACCATATTTGACTTCCAGAAAAGACACATGGCCCATTCCTAAAACTGTTAAATTGCACTCTTTTCAGTTAAAGAGGACTTTTAATTTCAACATATAAAGTGTTTCTTCTCTGTTTGGTTAGACATAAATGATCCCTTGATGTGTAAAAGGAAGTGAACAGTGGAAATGTCCCAGGAAAAGAGGAGGGTTAATCAACCTAATTAAATATAATTATATAAAGTCCTCTTTATCTGAAAAAAGTGCAATTTTCTTGGCAGTATTTCCTGGACATGCTTTGATTGCATAATGGTGAGCTGTCATTGGCTGACGGAGAGGCTACATTGCTTTAAAAATTGCAAATTGAGCAACAACAGGGAGATTTGTGCAGGCAGAGACGGAGTTGAGCATGCAGAGAGGGCTGCATATGACTGCAGAGCAGGTTGTGCTCTTGCAGATTGATCACTGCACGCTCCAGTTGGTGGCACAAAAATCACTCCACACTAAAAACCTGAATCAGAATATGGCCGAATGAGTATATTATTGACCAATTTTCTATATTATATATTTTTTCTATAATATATATATAATTTATTATAGGTACATATATGTATCTATAATATAGTAAACAGCCAGTTTCATATATGTCACATATATTCAAAAGCTATATCAAAACATATATTAAAACCTATATGTTTATGAATTCTTTCCATGTGGGTTGTCAGTTGCTTAATATTTCCTATGTTTACCTATGGTAAAGAAAGGAGATATTGTACTCATCTAACTTTAACATAAATTTTGGCAGCTTAATGTGACGTTATGGAAAATGCCATCATCATGAGCAACCAAACATAGGCTATATTAGGCTAACAGTTGTCCATATTATGTCCCATTTATCCACCAATGGCTGTTTCAGTTATTGTGAGTGAAAACTAAATGGCATAGTAGCATTTGTTTTGGCATTAGAAATTGAAAATGATTTTCAATGTGTTGGCTAGATGGATATACGAAGATTTTTTAAGAGAGTGAGTGAGGAACAGGAGAGAGACCAGGTGGTTGATGCTGAGGAGATCTGCATGGTCAAGGTCAGTGATCTACAGAGAAAACAGGGGCGAGCGCATCGTTATGAGCATTTACCTGAGCACAAAGTTCCCAAGCAAAATTGAACAGTTTTCTATTTAGGAGTGAACAGGTAAGAGACCTTGAGAAAAAAAAACTATAATTATCATGTGACCTGCAACCTTATGCCAAGTTGTATCTGTATAGTTGACTTTCTGTATTATAAGTTCTACTATTTGCTGGATATTTTTTATATACACTGGTATTTTGTCTTGTAATAGTTAATTACACACTCCTTTATTCCATATCATAGCAGTGTTATTCATATATTAAAACTGTCAACTGCACACTCATTTGGCAGAATAAAAGTTTGACAATTATTCATTTGTTCTTTGTCACATTTCAGTAACATTTATAATTAAACAAGTTGTAATTAAACAAATTAAATAAATGACTACATCATTTCCCCCTGTTAAGTGCAGTAGACTGAAATGAATAGCTTTATTTGGAAATATAACACATCTAATTTTTAATGGACTAACATAAAATCTTTCTTCAGCATAGACCCCACTAATGAACTGAGTAAGTGTTATTTTTTATAAAAAGAAGAGAGAAAATGCACAAAGGTAGGAAAGGAAACGAAAGTGATAAAATAATAGGTTTTGTTAAATGTTCTTCATATAATGAATTAATTGACAAAGTTTTTGCAGGGTGTGACAAAAAAACGTTCAAGGTCAAGCTCCTGGGGCTAAGTCCCCCCTATATCTCAATCCTAGTGACGCCCATGCTTCACCCTAAACCTGAGAGCTCTGCTACCAATCTAACAACATCCTTTACACATAATCAGATTGAATATCACCTTCTCTCCTTATGAGGGGGCACACGCACACACACACACACACACACACACACACACACACACACACACACACACACACACACACACACACACACACACACTAACCACGAACTCAAATGTTAATGTAAACAAAAGCTCTGAGGTTAAAATCCATCCAGCTGACGTGATGCAGGCTGAATAAAAACTTACGGGTAGATGAACACAGACTCCTGCCGACAAGCAAAACACCGGTCTGTCGTCTCTATGGCAGCAAGTTCAATTCAAGTTTATTTATATAGCGCCAAATCACGACAAGAGTCGTCTCAAGGCACTTCACATAATAAACATTCCAATTCAGGTCAGTTCATTAAGCCAGTCAGAAATAATGTTTCCTATATAAGGAACCCAGCAAATTGCATCAAGTCACTGACTATACAGCAATCCTCATACTAAGCAAGCATAAAGCGACAGTGGAGAGGAAAACTCCCTTTTAACAGGAAGAAACCTCCAGAGAATCCTGGCTCAGTATAAGCAGCCATCCTCCATGACTCACTGGGGATCGAGAAGACAGAGTAGGCGCACACACACACACACACACACACACACACACACACACACACACACACACACACACACACACACACACACACAAGTTAGAGGGTCAGCCAATCACACGTTAGCCTGACATGGCAGAGCCAATCAGTGAGCTTGTGGGCGAGTCTAAGGGAAACTAGGCTTCAGCTTGAAGAGGCTGCCTCCGCATGGTCCTAGTGCCTGCACCGTATCCAAGTATGACAGTTTTGAATGGTAAGATCTGATGGAAGACGGGGAAAAGGGTACTTTGGGCACTGGGTCTATCCATGCTTAAGGACCGTTGAGGGGGTAGGAAATCCAGCAAGTGGCAAGCCTAGGCACACTAATGGCTAGCCTCACTGATGCTAACGCCAGCCTATCCATGCTAATGGTCCGTCGAGGAGGTAGGAAATTCAGCTAGTGGCCAGCCTTGGCACGTTAATGGCTAGCCTCTCCAATGCTAACACCAGCCCGTCCAGGCTAACGCTAGCCTATCCATGCTAATAGACAGCAGAGGGAGTGTTTGAACAAGTCAATGACCAGCCGAGGGCTGCTAGTCCCTAGCGTACCTAGTAATAACGCTGGTAAAGGTGCTATTCCTCAGTAAGCAGCACCAGCCTCTCAGTTACCAGCGCCAGCTTGTCATTACAGAGGTCAGTAATTTTCATCATAGGTACACTTCAACTGTGAGAGACAGAATGTGGAAAAAAAAA